CGCCAGACTTGGACTTGGAAGTTCATGGCATTTGGCCAGAAAGAAAGACGAAAGTGAAAAACTGTTCAAATTGCCAATTAAATTACGAGGAAGACGGGCCAGAGAACACGGTGTGAGAAATGGCAATGCAGGCATTGGGCCGTTGGGTTAAAGGGGCCCAGTTAAAATTGCATTTACCAGGAAGAGAGATGAGTGGGTGGTGACAACAGCTGAGCTGCGAAAATGGCAAGCAAAACAGACGAGGAAAAAGCGCATTTCAGGATGGGGTGAAAAAAAAAGAAAAAAGTTTGGGGAAATCACATGAGTTGGCTGAAAAGAAAAAGTAGCCGCAGAGGCGCCGGCACTTGGCGCCGGATTTCCTCGATGATGACATACAAAAACAAAAAAAAAGAAAAGGAAAACAAAATGAAAACTTTTGTAAAAACTTTCTTTTAAGTTTGTTTCTCTTTTGGGTGATTTTGTGCTGGTCGGCCGCACAAAACTTGCCATTCTTGGCCGCAAATTCAATTTACGTTTATTTGCGAAAATATTGCCGCTGTCCTTGGTGTTCTGTCCTGTCCTGTCCTGTCGTGCCTCCTTTCCCCCCTACTGCAGCTCCTTTTCACGCTCTGTTTTCTATTTTCCAAGGAAAACACACGCACAGTTGGCATTTTTAATTTCCACTGCCGTTCGAAATTGCTTTTGAAATGGCATTTTAAAAATTTAATTGCCAGCTCCGTCTGCCCAACGAGCTCCTGTCCCCCTCCCTCCCAGAAGGAAGATGCCTTCCAGCAGCGTCTGAGTGTCCATTAGAGCAACTGCTTCGCTAAATTGCCAGTCACCGGGAAAACATAGAGAAAAACTTCCAGAAAATCTGGGTTATTTTCTTTGGCTTTTGTATGTTATTTAAAGAAAGTTTGGCGAAACTTCTGAGGGTATTTACTAATTAAAAGTTAAAAAAAAACATTGCAATAATCATAAGAAAAGTGTAATTAAAAATCATTATTATTATTATTATTATTATTATGCAACGTTGGGTTTTAATTACAAAATTTAATTGGCTTTTTTGCCATGTGTTATTACCTTTTTCTGGCTTTTAAGGAAAGTTTTTCTTAGTTTAATTTTCCGTTTTATATATAGTTAAATGATCTTTATATTAACTAAATATTTAATACTTATTTTTAAGCATTTTGATTTTTAAAGTCTGTATTACGTATTCAAACTTAACTACCCAAATTTCTTCCTGTGCACCAGGCAGTTTTCGTTTCTGTGTCATGTTTGTCAAATTGACTGAAGTGAAGTCCTTTCCCCAGCTCCTACCCTTCCCCACCCCGTTCTTGTTAATGTCCTGTCCGCTTCTTGTCGCTCCTGTTGTGTTCTGTTTACGCAGTTGTTGGTTTCCTTGAGGCCTCTAGCGGAAAGCTGAGGATCTCAGGCGATAGAAGCCGACCAGAAGAGCAGGGAAAGCAAAGAGGATGGGAAAATGCAAGCCATGCCTATGACATTTCCAAGGGGTTCGGAATGAAGCTGGCGGTAACAGGTTAGGAAATACCACTTAAACTCAATTGAATTTCAGAATGGCAAATGAAAATTCTCTCTCAAGGCAGACTTTTGAAAGAACCTATTAAAAATATGATTTAAGGCTTATTTTTCTAAGGAATTAAAGTTTTATTTTCTTAAGTAATGTAAAAACAAATATATATTGACAAACCTTTTAAAAATTTCGCATTAAAGTCAATTTACCGCCGACCTTTTAAAGCCAAACTGAAATGCTTTTTGCCACTTTTTAAGCTGCCTGCCTGTCAGCTTCCAAAGCAGAGGAAAAACTCAGTAGAGTACAGGACTTTTGACATACCGCCGAGGGAAGGATTTTCTTTTCCAAAGTGCGTTTCAGGAGAAGGAAAACTGAAAAAGAAATCACCGCTAATGACTGCGGACTTTCCACTGACGCATTTCGGCCGACTTTGCGGCGATTTGAGCCAACCACTCGACGTCCAGAGCAGAAAATTCATTTTAAAATGGCAATTACGCCGCAAATTGATTGATATGCAAATCTATCCAATTACTGCGATGGCGAATTTTAAATATGTTTATCAAAAATGATTTTTTAAAAAGGCCAACCAATCGATTGATAGAGCATAAAAGAGGAAAGCTCTATGAATGGCATATCAAAGCACATTTGTTTAAATATTAAATGGTAATAATTTCACGAAATAAACAATCAAAATACATACTAGAAATAGCCTTTGTTAATTTCAATAGCATGCGTAATTTAATCTTTTGCCATTACTCATCGTTAAATGCATTTAATTGTAATTAATAACTTTTAGTTGAAATTTGCATAAACAAGGATTATCAAATAGATTATTTTACTAAGCATTTTAGAGAATATTCTTTGGGATTCTAAACACTAGCCTTTACTAATTGAAACTACCATATGGCATTAGAGCTTTAAAAGTAATTAGATTTAATTCTCACCCACTTTAATGGGGGGACACAGACATAAGTTGGACAAAAGCGCTCCCCCGGCGCGGCTTACACAATAAACCTTTTTAAATACGAGAAACAAAATAACCGAGAAGGATTCCAACGCAATCCTAATTGTCATAATCACGAGGGGAGACACTTGAACGTCCTTTGCGGCGTCAAAAATTAAAACGTGACACAAATTACTCGGTCGGCCTGAGTCCCCGCCCGCCCCGAGGGGAGATTCCTTCTCGCTCAAATGTCATTAACCAGGACATGAGCGTCCATGGAAAAAGTAGAGGATGTTGAGGATGGTGGGTTTGTCGTTTGGTGGGCGGACTGGGCTGGGCTGGGCCCAGTTTTGACAGCCGCACTGCGCCTGTCCCTAAGGGGCCTAGCCTCTGTCCCAGGATCTGTCCAAATGTCCCGCGTCTCAGTTGGTGTCCGTGTCAGTGACGATGGATGTAATTCCTCATGTGAGTACACCAAAAATAAAAGTTGAAAATCCAGGAAAAAACAAGTTAAGAGGTAAAGTGAATGTCGAGATAAGATTATCTAAACCCCAAGAAAACTTTCATTTTCTATCTTTTACTGGATAAGATATGAACTTTTTTTCCTTAAAATTTTGTCAGAACCTCATAAAACATATCATAATCTACAGCATCATGTTTAGTTTCATTAGGCCAAAAAGCTTTTATGCAAAAATCATAATTCTTAGACAGAAAGAAGCAAATGAAAAACTATAAATAAAATTTAGAATATATAATATCGACAAATGTTGTTTTATCCGCAGATTAAAATTTTTTTTCGTGCACCACTAGTACAAAACCCCATCCACTCCTAGGGCCACCACCTCCTTGTTGCCGCACCTCAGGGAGCCTTTGTTAATCATTTTGCCTCAACTCGCAGATTTCGCACGCACGCACATGGGAGTGGAGAAAGGGAAAGGGGATTTTGTAGAGGGGGGCACTGGGCCATCATTTGCATATGTGTCTACTAGGAGAGCTTTTCCAAGGAGGTGCACATTCATCCACCTGCCCGGGGGCCAGCTCAGCTGCCTTCTTTTACGATGGTTGCTGGGGATGTAAATTTGATTTAGGGCTCAGTTCCCACAAAGAGCTCCATCCTATACCTAAGGCAATGACAGATTCCAGCTTTGGGTCATCAAACTGTTGAGAGGCTAGCTAGCTTATTTTGTTTAATAATAAAAGTTTAACAAAGAATGTTAAGAGGCAAGAAACTAAAAGCTGTGTCATAAAATTTCTAGAAGTACCAAACGTTTTAAATAGTTTTAACAACATATGTTTCTAATGACGTGGTTTAGTTTCGCTAAAAAATGTAAGTGGTTTTGGTCAATTAGCAGCTAACATATGGAAAAACATAAAAAGAATATGCTAAACAAAATATGAAAACCAACAACTGGAAATGGAACTTAAAGAACTTATTTATCTGAAAGAAAAATAATTATTTGCCAAGATTAAACTCTACAAACTTTTAACTGCTTTAAATTCCTAATAACTTATAATTAATACACATTAAATATTAATTTAACAGTTCTCACATCAGTTGCTGATTCAAATCCATAAATCAATTACAGCCCCAAGAAACAATCTGTCATCACAGCCAAGGACTTTGCTATTATCTTTCCAATTAATTACCTCAGAAAGTTCCCTTTGAAAAGGTATTACTTTTACAGTTAACTTAATAAAATACATAAAAAGTTATTAACTATTAAATTCGGAATGATAATTGGATTTAATTTAAATGCCTGGCACACACAAATGTACTGGAAATTGATGGGCTATAAAATCAAGTGCGGAAACTTGAAATCTAGAACTTTAAGCACTGAACTTGCCACCATATGTTTTCCCATTGTGAGGAAGTTTCACACATGCTTAGCCATTTACCCTATTCCCTATGAGGCCCCCGCCGTCTTCCCACTTTTTCGCCACCTTCTATTTTTTCTTTTTGTTGCCCCTTTTCGCTCCGTTTCGTTTACTTTTTTCACAAGCTATTAGCAGCTGCTCAAGGCGACGATGAAGGAAAATCCAGCACCCGCTAATAGAAAACAGCAAGTAATCGGCACACACATGCAAGCTACCCTCCACAGAAAAAAAACTAATATTAAGTTTAATAAACTTAGTTTGGTTTTAAGAGAAATAATACTAAACCGACCTTCCAATTCTTAATTGATTTAACAATAAATCAAAGAAAGAATTACTACTAATAGATGCTCCTATTTCTATATTAACTAGTACTACTACTTCATTTTAAACTTCGTGTGCTATCTTGTTACTTCCTCATTGAACATAAAGATAATAAACAATCAAAAAAATGTACTTCATATTTTGCAATGGAAAAATTCGTTACATTTTTAGAGAGATAGTGTTTGGAAATTCATTTCCTTATTTTATTTTCAAATCATGTAAACTTTCGACACCGAAAAACATTTTTGGTAACATTTTTAGATTAGATTAATAAGGTAGAAAAGAGGAAATGTTTTTTTCAACGTGTGTTCGGTAGTAGGAAAGGGGGGAGGTAGCACCAGCACTCACCTGGAGCATGGGACTCCGCCTCGCCATTTGTCTGGATACCGGAAATCTCTGTTGGCTGCTCATCAAAATCGAGGGTACTCTTACGGCCGGCCACTTTCGGTTTTTAGTGCCGGCAAAAAGGAAAATTTTGTATTTCTATAGATTTTTCAGACTGTCTGGCTGCGCTTTTCTGTTTTATTTTTAAGAGTGGAAATGTTTTTAAAAACGGATTTACCCTTATGTGTGTGATGTTTTCCTTGTTGTTCTTGTTGTTGTTAATGGTTGCCAAAGCAACAACATGAAAACTTGGCCAACAGGAACGGCTAAAAGGAGCAACAACAACAACAAGAACATCAGGTGTGAGATGGAACACACACACACGCGCATACACATAGACGGGAAGGACTCGCCAAGTGTAAATAGAGTAATAAAAAAAATGTAGGGAAGTGAAACAGGAAAACCAGGCGGAAGAAAAATCGAAGGAAATTCGTCCCGCGAGAGAGAGAAAGACAGAAGCCTAAAGAGAGGGCGGCACAAAGAGAGAAGGACAGAGAGAGAGCTAGTAAACTTTCGCCTTTTTTGTTTATTTCACAGACACACACGCGCGCCACACAACAACACACTGACACTTTTCCAGGATGCGGCGTTTTAAAACTGACCGACCCGATATATTTGCATTTCTCTTTGCCATTCATTTATTCCTCTCCTTATTTATTTCGGTTTTTATCTCCAGCGTCTTTTCTTGCTATTTTTAAACACGCACTTTGCGCAACTAACTGTAAATTTACCGCACACCCGCACACAAACTCTCCAAATTAGAGTCATTCAAATATTCCTTTTGTTTGTGTTTAATTTTTGCAACGAATTTCGTTTATTTTGGAATATTCTAACTAGACTTAGAGCAAACTTTTGTTGATACTCCTTAAAAATTGAATTGCAATTTACATCGAAACGCTCCACCCGGACGAGAAAAAAGCAATAACAAAGAGCGTGCTTTGCCAAGCGCTTAAATACATTTTTCTTCCAACCAAATGGTCAGTTTCGAACTCCTCCGAGTTCGAACTCTTAGGTTCGATGCAACAACAGCGCACAGTGGCTCGACTTTGAGTAAGTAAAATAAGATGATAACGTATTCTTACGGCAAGTCTTCGTAATCTTCTTTGAAGGTTTATGCATTTATTATCCATTTCTATTCATGTTTGCTTATATATTAAGTTTACTACTTTCAGATTCATAAACTTTTTCTTGTCAACATTATTAGATACAAGGGGCAATGTCGTTATTCCACTATGCAGGGCAATCTGTCAAGTGGCTGTTGTGAAATGTTAATAACAGCAGATATTTAAACATCCTCTGCTCTGTTACTGTTGCTCGCGTGGGTGGTAGGGCTGTTAGTGTGAAACAGCTGTTGTTACAGAACTTTGACTAACAGTGTTACGTTAACAGTAGCACTGTGGAACACTTTTCGACCTAAACGAATACAAAACTTACGCTTTTATTAAGCAAGTTAAATTTGAACCACTAAACAAGCAGAGCTAAATAAAAATATATTTTTTACAAACATTAAACAAAACATCTAATTAATTATTGAATTAAATTATTTATTCAAAAATTGAACACTTTGCACTTGGTAAAAAAACTTATAATTAACTTAAGGCTGCAACAGATTCATCGAGGGATCCTAAAGCTATCGATCTCAAAAGTAGTATGTAAAATCATCAGAAACAGAGGGCCGATGCCGCAATTCCATCGACACAATTCGTTCATTGGGCTTAGTATGCAGTTCTTTGGATTGGCCGATATGGCAGTTTGATAAAGAGTATGACTTATAGTTTGTTGGCTCCCCTACGGATCGATGAACGAAATCATGATGTAACGAGTGCCATTGGTCACAAGCAGACCCTCATGGTAATGAGTCAGTCGTCCCGGGTGCATCAGCATCCATCCCTTCTTCGTGTCGGTCACGGAACAGTTGTACCTAATGAAGCGACAGCCACCGCCCTCGTAGTCGATTCCCGCCTTGTTCATGGCAATGTTGATGGTGTACGTGGAGGAGTCGTGGTGGGGACGCAGCGAAGGCTGTTCATCCGGACGATAGCGCACCATGAAGTTCATCAGCGAACGGGGAGGCTAAAATAAAATATATAATAATAATTTGAAAAATATTTAAAATAAAGTAAAACTTACATTGTGGAAGTATCCCTCAAAGACTCGCTCCTGCAGCGGGCGCACGAACAACTGAAGGAACTTTAGATACAGTTGGTCCAGTCCCACCTGCTTCATGTGAATGTCCCTTGTGGGCACTGCCTCGTATCCACCTTCTAGACGGCTGTCGCTGTTGCTGCCATCTGACCAGCTGTTGTGAGCCTCCATGATGGCCACCAAATCGTCACAGAAAGCGTCCGTCACGATCTGGAACCAGAAAACATCCGGACACGGCTGCGGTATCTTGTAGCTGGTATTAAGCTGAAGCGAGTAGTTCGGGTGTATGTACTTCTCCGCCCAATCATAGCGGTTGCTAAACAGCGTATGGAAGTCCGGACGTGTCACCGAACTATTAAAGTTATCGGTGTTGACCAAGTGACCGAATATGCGCAGATTGCTGATGTACATGAAGACTCCCTGGGATGAAGAGTGGACACATTTCGAATTAGTAACAAAACACGAACTTATGGTTATGATAAACTACTTAATTTAAAATTTATTAAAACTTACAGCATTCCTGAGTGACTCACACATGGCCATGTCGGGATCGAATTCATTGTGCTTGAAGGAGATGGCATCAAAGGCAGTGCTCTTCACCAGATACATGCTGGTCACATGGGGCACGTTGAACATTCCACTGCAAATGCAGATGAGAAATAAAAGTGATGAATGAGATAGTCAAAACAGGGCGACTGATAAAGCCGACAGCGGAATGGCCGCGAATGTCCAGCAAAATTGCAACAATGTTGCGAAAATGGAAAGTGACGTTGCGCTGGCAGAAGCCTCAACTAGATCCACTTAATTCAATCAAATTCGCACGGATTAGAACGGATTGGATGACGTTCTGTTCAGATGTCGGGAGCGCAGTTTGAAAACAACATTCACCGTAGGCGATCGGAATCTCGGCTGGACAACAATGCCTCGTGGCATCTGGAATCTTGATCGGATCGTATTCCTATGCCTCTGTTTCTTGATACTCGGGAATCTAATCTGCATTGAAGCCCAAAGTGAGTTTATCAAAAATCATTATAATATGATATAATAACTGGATAATTATCATAGGAAGTACTGCGGGAAAGACGGAGCGTCGTAACTATACGGGCAAGAAACCCGTGGTGATCCAACACCGATCCCAGGATGCAGTCAACTATTATGATCACGAAAATGTGAGTGGAGAAAGTTTTAAAATAGATTTCTAAGTAATTTCCAATACTTTTCAGGGCGCCAAGATCATAAAGTCTTCGCATTTCGAGTTGGACTATACCCTGGGTCGCAAGATTACCTTCTTTTGCATGGCTCAAGGTGGATATATAATATTTTAAGTTATACAATCTATGTAGTACTGGAATTTACACATTTTAGGCAACCCACGACCTTCCATCACCTGGTTTAAGGATGGAGCAGAGCTCTACCAGCACCGATTCTTTCAGGTAACCTTATGAATTTTTAGATATGAAACTTATGATTTAAATTTGGTTTTTCAAGGTACACGAATCTCATATCGAGGCGAATATTGTTAAATCTAAAATGGAAATCGATCCAACAACTCAAATGGATGCTGGTAATAACAAAAATAAACTAATTTATTAAATTTTATAGTTAATCTTGTCTGTATATACCTTTCCATTTAAGGTTTCTACGAATGCCAAGCGGACAATATCTACGCCATTGATCGTCGAGGCTTTCGCACGGACTACGTTATGGTTAACTTTTAAGCCAAGTTTCCTATCACCATTAACTATACACTTGAACTATTTGACCTTGTAAACCTAAAACCTAAAATGCATATCTTAAACCATACAATTAAATGCAAAAATATTTAAAAATACATTTTTTGCGACTTGCATTATGGCAATTGAATGTCTATTTCAATCCGACCTTTCTCCTTGTCAGTGTGTGTATCTATGTCAGTATCTTTGAGTGCCAAAGTGTATAGGTGTGAGTGTCTGTGTGTGTGTGTGAACAAAGCCGACAAATTGACTCAATTACCCAATTCAAGTGATTTTTTTGCATTTATTTTATTAAAATGTGTGAAAGCAAACCAAACAAACGGAGGCTTTTTAGTTCTAAAGTGTTGAGCGCTCCATGGCATCCACAAGGGCACAGTGGGGCAAGCACAACAAAATTAAGGATACAAAATATATATTTTTTTTTCATTCAACATGCAATAATACAATTTGCATTTGTATGCAGCTTGAAAACACAATTTGATAAAGGCTTCCTTTAGAAATTTAAGCGAATTTTTTAGAAAGTTTAAACATTTTCTCTAGATTGTTGGTAGATCTATAACCCACCTAATAACCTTTAACCATTTTAACCACTATTAGTTCTTTTATAAACAAAATATATTAAGTCCGCAAAAGAACACATTGAATTGTTGTTTCACCAAAAACTCCTTTTGCCAAGAAATATATTAGACTTCCAGAAACATTGTTCTCAACCCACTGTAAACTAGATCGTATCCCAGCAAGACACTAGGAAAGGGGTGCCCACCATGATGAGCGATATCAGCAAGCGTCCAAATCAAATCAAGCCAGGGAATTGAGTGAAATATGAAAATGCGGCGATGAGAAAGCCTAAACAGAACAACAAAGCCGCGAGCGGCGAATTTTGAGAGCAAAACCAAACGGATTTAATCCGCCGGACAATTGTGGCAAATTAGATGAGATGAGCAGAGTGTTGGTGCATGCAGAGTAGTCTGACCGAGTGGATCACCAGTCACCCAGCAAACGAGATTCGCACAGCAACGCCATCATCAGCAGTCGTAGAAAAAGTGATCGTGATCTCTGCCAGTAAAAATATCCATTATCCGGAGAGTCATGCAGGTTAAGTGCCTGATCATTTGCCTTGCCTTGGGTCTCCTAATGCTGGCCACGCCCATTTGCGAGGCGCGCCGAGGGCGTGGCCGTGGACGTACCAAGTCCAGGGTTCAGATCGGACTGCCAATTACGGGAAAATATCGCGATCCGGAGTCTGATCAGTACTATAACAATAATAACGTAAGTTTTTGGTGATTTTCTTTTAGGATCAGGTCGGGATTACAAATTACATTAGTGAAAAGGAATTTATTATAAGATTTTATCATAATAAAACCCCGAAAATGAATAGATTCATCTTCTTTTCCGTCTCTCTATAGGGCGCAAAAATTCTACAAGCCTCACACTTTGATCTTGAGTACGTCCTCGGCCACAAGATTGCCTTCCTCTGCGTGGCCAAGGGTAATCCCCGACCTCATATCACTTGGTACAAGGACGGAGCTGAGATCTATCAGCACCTCTATATGCACGTCCACGAATGGCGTATCGGCGACGACAAGGTCAAGTCCAAGATCGAGATTGACCCTGCTACCCAAATGGACGCGGGACTCTATGAGTGCACTGCAGACAACATGTACTCCATCGATCGACGCAGTTTCAAGACAGATTTCTCCATTGCATTCGATTGATTTGGGATCGAAAACTCTTTGGTTCTATCTCGAAATCTATAAGTTTTATATCTAGTTTGAAAATGTGCAGATTAAGCCCCCTAAATTTGTACAGCCTTCATTATAATAATAATACAAAACCCTCTTCCTATAAATCAAAAAGTTGAGAATTTAAATCCGTGTTTTACTTACATCAGTTCCCGCTTCACAATATCCACATAGTCGTGTGACCTGGCATAGTAACCACCCTCGGAAAGGGCTCCCCAAAAGTTGCTCCACAGCTCGTTGTGCTTGGTAATGAGCGGCGCCACGAATTGCCTGCGACGGGAAATATTATTATTTTGGAAATCGAATTACAGCGAACCTTGACCTACTTATTCAGCCTGAGCAGCTCCCGGAGCACCTCGCCTTCGTCAATGTGCGCATCTGCGTCCACGAAGAATATATAGTCGCTACGATGGAGACGAGCTTTGTCACTGGAAAAGTAAAAATTATTAATTAAATATATTTAAATACATATAAAAAAGACATTAAGGAAGTTTTAACATGGGCTTTTAGTACTTACATGGCCAGCTGCCTGCCTTGCCGCTCATCCAGTTCATCCGTAGAAAGAACATATTTAGCACTGGCGTATTCCTCTTCATGCTTGGTCACAAACGACTTGCAGTCATCATCGTGGAATGGCACATTGCTGTAGACGAGCAAGTGAAGCTTCTCCTTGGGATAGTTAATCTTCTCTACTCCTTCGAGGAACTGATCGAAGAAAGGCACGGGTTGTGTGACAATCAGGGCCAACGAGATTACCGGAAGTTCTTTCTCCTACAAAATAATATGAATATTAATCATAGCATATATACTCATAACATATATTACACACATCCAAGTCCAAAAGATTTTCCTGGCACAACAGGCAGACTCCATTAAAAGTCCTTGCCAAATAGTTACCATAGGCATTCAAATCCACTTTGCTTAATCCATTGCCATGGATAATAGACGGCGTGGTCATGAAATCCACATTCTGCAGAACACCCTGATTGCTTTCCAGATCCACTTTAAGTTTCACATCGTTCTTGGCACCATGTAGGTTTTGGAATAGCCTGGATTGTGTGTCCAGCTTAATGCCTAGCTTGGCGCGTTTTGCCTCGTCGAGGAAAATCTTTGTCAAATACAGCTGATCGTCGGCAGCATCTTCAATTGGCTCTTCAAGTAGGCTATAAACCTGTGGTGCATATCCAATAAATGCACCTGAGTTTAGGAATCGAGAAGCCTTGCCCTCCACTTCGGGATAGTCATTGGCAAGACTTTTATCGGGCCAACAGTATTTCTCCGCAGAGATTAGTATCTTAGCTCCTGACTCTTTGAACTTCTCATAGATCTCATCCAGCGTTGTAGTAATAATCACATCGTAGCTAAAAAAAATATGATATATTTAATAATGTTTTATGAAGTTTTTATTAATTTACAAACCTGTCTGTAAATAGTATTATTATTTCAGGATCATTTTTATAGGGCGCAATGGCTTCCCTCAGAAGATTAAGCTTGAAACCGCCGCCGGGTCTTTGCATATCCCCTCCTTTCCATTCTTCTTCCAAGCCAAGAGTCGTCACCTTTTGGAGATTAAATTATTATAATAATATTAATAGAAATTCTAACTCGTGATCGAGTTTCTTTTTATCTCTGATGAAAAACTGGATTAGCTAGCAATATAACAATAAAGTGTCTTGGCAAGTGGTTATGAATTTGATTTTCAAGCCGTTGTTTGATCATAACTAGATCTTTACTAACGTTTAGTTAAATCCACGAGCCATAAAATTATGCTAAATGCTAACTTATAGATTTGCCTATACAAATATTTATAGTTTTAAAACGGAAAATTATAATTTGTCAAATTGTTACTTAACTATATAAAAGGCTAAAAAGTCTCAAAAGTAAAATTAAATAAAAAGCCATTTAAGAAACTCATTAATGCAATCCCTTTGGGATCAAATAACTTGAGTCGCACAGTTCTCTCAGTACAAAGAGCTGAAGAAATTCAAAACAAAAGGGGAGAGATCAGCTTACACTTATAAAAAAGCCGGCTAAGCGAGCTTATCAGCATATTTTGTTGTCGAGTATTTATTTTAACACAAAAAAGATTCTGAACCGGCCGACAAATACAAAAAGTGTCACATACTCTGAGCCTGATAAGCTAAAATCTCCCACCAACTTGGTGTAGAAAGTTCTAAGCTATCAATAGACCGAGGAAACAAAATCTTAATGTATTGTGCTAATTACTACCCCCGGCAACTGCACCGAATCTGTCTGGACTACGTGACTCCAACATGTGTGCACTATATGTTGCCGCTGGCCCACAATGACCAGCCAATCTTGGTGTTCCACATCAGAAAATCGGACGCCAACGCCGGATGCTCGGTTAGCGGCATACATTTACAGATATATACTATATATGCTATATACTAACCAGACATTTAAACAATACAAAGTTGCCCAAGTGTGCCAAGCCGCCGGACAAGTCTCGGGAATCATAAAAGACATATTCTCTCCCTGTTCTTATCTGTCATAGTTTTTATGTTCTTTTTTATATACTAGTTTTGATTAAGATTCGATTGTCTTAGAGTTGTCAAATTAGAAATTCATCAATAAAAACAATCAAAATAGATTTGCATATAAACAGTGGGTAACAGATGTTCTTGCGAACGTATTTAATTGCAAATTTTGCGAATCTAAATATTATTTTTATGTTTTTTTTTTTTCAAAAAACCTGTGATGCTGACCTAATATATTCTCTGTTTGGTTTTAGAAATTGAATTATCTTTAAAAACCTTAATTTAATTTGTATGCTGTACACAAACTTTCTTAATATACTATCTCTATAGATCAAGAATTTAACTAGTTTTCATATTTAACCGCTAACGGTAACCACAAAATCTAAGTCTTGTCACGATTTTAGATTGTTCTAATTAATAATAATTCTAGCCTTAAAAGGGGTCAGCCTCACCTCAATGTCGTAGACCCGTGCAGATCGGAAATATCTGGTATAGCCATCGGTGCGTTCAGTGGCCACGGTGAACACTTTGATTTTGTCTATAGGGGATATTCGAAAGATAATTTACATGTGATTAATTAGGATTCTTAAAAAGTTTATTATATATTTTAGAATAGATTTAACTACATTTTTAGTATGAATTTTAACCCAAGAACTTATTTACCTATAAATGATATATATTTATCATTTTTAAAAGTTTCTCATTAAATTATATTTTCTTCACTAACAAATTGTTATTATTCTACGTAAGCTCTACTGCAATTTAATATATATTTATTTTATGTTCCCACAAATACAATGTGGTAATTGGATCAAATTAGAATCACAATAAAAAAGAAATAAAATATGCATTGTTTTGTCATGTTATTTTTTATGTTCCACATTAACCGGTCATACGAACATTAGCTAACAAGTTAATCAGGTTTAAGGGCTGCAAACTTATGAGATAGTTAAAAGAATTTGTTATTTAAAATACAATTTTTTCTTCTTAGATACATATGCATCCGAATATTTGTATCTGCATCTGCATCTTCTCCGTTTCCATGCAATTCCAGAGTAAACGACCGCAAACATCAAAGCGGAATGAAAACAAAGGCAATTTTAAAAGGCAAGGGAAGTGAGATGGTGCATGGATCATAAACAAATTCTGTGAGATATGTAGTACATAGTACACAGGAAAAAATGTATTTCAATGTATTTTCCAAAACCTTAAAATTTAGATAAATTATATACTACTCATTATTGTAAATTTGAAGTGAAAAGATTCGAAATGAAAGATTTGATTCCACAATTTAACAGATAAGATCATCATATGTCCTATTTTCTTCCTGTGTACTGATGCCTACGTGAGGGAGATGCACTTGAAAGCCGCTAAAATGAATGCAGTGCATAATATTCTATGACTGTTGATGAACTCATATTCTAGTTAGAAATTAGAAACAAACCATTCCAATTGGTCTCCGGCGCTGCAGCGACGTCGGCGTCAGCATCGGCGTTTGCGCTGGCTCCTTGCGACGTCACAGCCAGCAGCAACAAAAACAAAGCGCTTTGTTGTTGTTTATTCATGATTCTGCAATTATTTTTTTTGCTCACTCACTCACACTAATTTTCTGCAGGCACTTTACGTTTATTTATACTAGTTGCATTTTTATTAGAATAAGTGATAAGAATTTGAAATATTTTCGGCTCCTCGAAATTTCGGGAGTTTCCGCCCGCACCGAACGAAATAAAGCGAATAACAAACGTGTGACCGCGGCGTGGTCGTTAGGAAATACCACAACTTCAAAAACACCCTAAAAAATCCATCTATAGAACTATAAGAAACAGCTGATGGATTATAGGACTTTCCAACCGCTTTTTAAATATAATGTACATCTCGGATCTAAAGAATAAAGTTTTCAAACGGATTAATATCAATAAGTCCCAATCTTTTCGGCGCACAACTTGAAATTTATTTAGGAAAATACTAAGCGCGTTCTGACTTAAATGTGGATGTTACAAAGGTGAATGCACATAATATGTGTATATATGCGGTGTGTATTTACAATTAACTGGGTGACACAAAGGGAAACAAAATCGAGTGTCCGTTCGGTCTGCTTGCTCGCCAGCGCACCATAAATTGAGCGTGTATATTGTCTCATTGAACAGGTCGTATCAAAAATAAATGGCAGAACCCAAAACGAACTCAAACCCATCAAAATCTTCTCCTTGTTCATCCCAGAGAGGTGGTTCAGTTCCGATGACAGACTTGGACTTAAAGTTGTGGCAATATGCACAGTTTACAGCATGCCGAAGCCCTTCGAGTAGTTGATGGCCTTCAGCAGGCGCTCCTCCAACTTTTCGCGACTGCTGTACTCGGGAAGCAGCAGTACATTGAAGCAGGTGTGCGAGGTAGGCAGCCGGTCGCTATCAGGACCATGTCGCGTGATCAGCAGTCGGAGACACTTCAGTCCGCCCACCGGAACACGCGCCGATCCTGTCGTAAATTCTAGCAGCTTGCGCTTTGACTCATTAGGCATAGCATGCACAATGCTCCAGAAGTCCTGGATAATCTGCGTCTCTTCCGTATAGCCGCCTTCGTACTCCGTCGAATGCTCCAGTTCCACGAAATCGAATTCCTACAAGGAAAGCTTAACAATCAAGCACTTTCATTCATTAATGTTTACAAGTACTCACTCGACTTCCGCAGACCAGCATTTCAATCTCCTCGGGCCGGAAGAGCAGCTTAAGCGGTGACTCGTCCGTAACCATTTCGAATCCCTTGCGGAAAGCATTGAACTGCTGCTGGATATTCGTGTTGAGCAGGAAGTCACTGTACAGATTAACAAACAGCTGCTTATTGTGTTGCCCCACCAACACGTCCTTGCCATTGGGCACCAGTTCGTGCTCCACCATTTCGCCGAATACATTGCTGTAGCTGATCTTAAAGGTCTGATCGAAGACCTCCTCCATGTCTTGACCCTGGTAGTCTAGCATAGACTTCAGACTCTTGCTCAGCGTTGGACTCCAGTCACTGAGGTCTGCGAATGTGCCACAATAACCCATCAACTTGCGGTAAACCACCATAGGGAAGTTTACAGCCAGGATTACGTTGTTGTAGATCGCCAGGCCGATTATGATTCCTATAAGAGTGAATTGAGCTCCGTTCTCATATGGTGTGGCATTAAACCTGGGAAACATAATCAATATTAAATGGTTAGTTGTGGTCAATACTTAAAAAAATAGAATCCTTACCACATATTATTGGTCTCTTCCTGCTGTATAAACATTCCAAAAGCTGGATTAAAAATCTCCTCCACAATTAGCTGGAAGAACTCTTTGGATACGCCACCCTCATCGATACCCTGTTCGCCAACGAACTCCACCACCAACTGCTTCTTGAGATCCTTCGGATTGCTCATGGCCACCAGTTCCAGCTAGCAAAGTAAACATTAATTGTAAGTTTTAATTAAATAAACATTTTAAAGAAATCCATGTACTTACCCCGATGAGCGCATCGTTGATAAGCTGGTCCCTGCGAACGGACAATTTAAGATCCGGCCGCGGAGTGCCATCTTGTCCCTCCTGGCCGAAGTTGTTAAGGATCGAGTAAAGCGATGAATAACGCTCACTGTACATCCTCATCCGGCTGTCGTAGTACAAGGCATCTACTTTAGTAGCCGGCGTAAGGATAAAAGCGTACAGCATAAACGAAAAGTAGTTATTTTGGCCAGAGCCCAGCTCGCTTTCCATGGCCAGTGTCTTGTAAGAGAGGTAGTCGTGATGCATTTGGATGTTATCGCTGAGCGCCTCGTTGTAAAACTCCTCCAGTGGAACCAATGGTTTCCGGCAATCAATGGCCGATACCTGTAGTGCCTTCTCCAGTTGATCCTCGGCGAATTTGGGCATGTGCGGCTGCAGTATTGAGTTATAGGCAAAGATATCGTCCTCCACTGATACACTGTTAGATGAGGATGCGGCCACCGTTTCCGTCCGATCCTCCAGTGGCACCCGACAAGAAGGTCGCTCCAACTCGCTAGCCAAAATGTTAGCGTAAAAGACAATCTGATTGATGAGAAATAACGATAAGTTGTGCACGGGAAAGTTATAAGCTATACCTTACCTTCAATACTTTGGTAACGCTAATGATGGAGCCGTTCTCACGCATGGAATCCTCGTCTAAGAGCACCTGCACTGTGATCTGTTGCTGGCAAGCAGCTACCAACGCTTGCAGTTGATCCGAGCAATGAGCTGCCCAAATCCGGGCCAGACGTGCCTGTGCGTGCACTGGCATGGCCGCAGCTGCGTGACACAGCTTGGGAAGCACCCTATCCAAATAGTCTGTGTCTGCCACACTGTTGTTGGCTGTTAAGAATTAGGGAAATCTTAAAATTAAAGAAATTGTTTAGGGTTACAATTCAAAAACTTACTATTTGTGGCCAGATCAAAACAAATGATCAGACAGTGGATGACCTTCTCCCAATCGGGACGCATGTAGTGAACCCAGTCAGCCAGTTGGATAACGCTGCTGGTCAGCTTGTCCGTGATGGCTCGCGTTTGTGACCCAAAAAGAAGGCGCTGCACTCGACGCAAACCAGGCAGATCCACCTGCGTGTCGCTGCTTTGGGATGGGTCCTCCTCCGACGTTGCCTCTGTTGTTTGAGCCATGGGCACGTCTTCATCCTCCTCTTCGGGTTCTGCCTCCGTAACAACTTCAGATTCAGTAGAAGCGATTGCTAATCCTTCTTCTGTCACCACCTCTTCTTCCACCTGTTGTGTACTGTCCTCGTCTTTGTCGTGTTCTCCCTCTAAAGTTCGTAACTGCTCTTTGTTTAAAGCCTCCGGTGGATTGGCCAGCAGCTCCTGAAGACTACTAGAAGCCGCTGGTTCTGCACTGCGAATGAAGCTCTTACTCAGTCTATCCACGCTGGAGAAAACATCTCCGATAGCGTGACAAATCCTATCGTAACTGTCCGCCGCCCTACATTGCTCGTATAGAGCCATCAGACTGTTGGCCTCCAGGCTTTGGACTGTCGGCAGGGTGGGTGTACAAGGTTCCGAATCACCGGAGGAGGGTTCAACGCAGCCTATATCCAACTGGGGAATATTCTGGACAAGATTTGGACTGCAAACAGCCACTACAGCAGCAGGTTGAGCATTCTGCGATTGTCTACTAGTTGTCGTGGTGGTGCTGGCGGAGGTAATAGTACTCGTTGAACTGCCGCTGCTGCTGCTACTGCTATCATTCGGCGACAGCATGTCCACGTCTTGGGGGCTGAAAGGAAGATGGAAGTTATTTTCAAGATTTCATTCATCACATTACACATTACAATCATTAAGATCAACCAATTGTTTAAGAAGTGTCCTCACCTGCTAGTTGCCGATGTGGGTGCCTCACAGAGCTGTGCATCCTGGGAGAAAAGCTGCAGTGCCCTAGCAGCGACTTCGTTGGGGGTCATGGGCGCCACCCTACCACTGGAGGCACAATTGGCGTTGGTACAGTGGGCGTTCCCGCAGCCAGATTGTAGTTGGTGGAAATATCGCTGGATCAAGTGGCGCACCGCCGAACGCTTTACATCGGGAGTGGAACGACCGCCCGTCGTTCCAGCTGCCGATCCTGATGCACTAGAGGACAGAAAAGTTTATTTAGTTTACCATAATCGCAAAGAAAGAAGTTATTCACCTGGAAACACCTGGCAGATGCTGCTCCTCCTCGCCACCACCGCCTCCGCTCATCTTCGCTGATATCTGCGCACTTCACGCCTCCACCGCCGCAGCCCCTTTCTTTGTTTGCCAAAAGATATTGTGCCCCGCACGCAAAAAAAAGGGTGCAAAAAAATCGATGTTGATGTCCCTTTTTTGTGTCGCTGTGACCTTAAATTCTTTAGTTGCCGATGCTTTGCCGCTGTCGCTCCTTTTATCGCTGACTATGCTGGCCTCGCATCGACCTATGATCGCCGTATTTCTTACTTTATGATGTCTATAATATATATTTCAACTATTCATCACAACAATTTGACAATTTTGACTTCAGAGCGAGTGTTTTTAAAAATAAGCAGGCAAAGCAATATTGAAAATCATTCTATACGATATGCTATCGATATGCCCGTGCTAACGTCTTGCCTTTTATGTTATCTATATCTGGATAAAGAAGCATATCGAAAATGAATATCTGTGCCTATCGAAAGGATTCGGTTAGAATTTTGAAAAATTAACGCTACCGCTCGAACTGAACTACAAATTAATATTAAATATATAAATTATAAATATAATATTCAAACTTTTACCAATTTTAGTTGGTAGAATTACGATGACACCATATTATTCATCTACTGCTTATGCTACTAAACAAATTTTAACTTTATAATGCATATATTTTTTGTTTTAAAATTCTTTTAATATTAATTTTATCAATAAGTAATTTAATTATTTGTTAACTTTATCATAATTTTTATTAAAATCATGGCTTCAGATTTCATTTCTTTAACTATAAAAACCTGAAACACCAGAATATATATAAATAGCAACAATTTAATTAAAAAAGTTTAGATGTGGCATTATTAAAAAAAACAAATTAACATTTTAGGGACCAAATAAATTTCCCAAATTTTCGTTAAAATTACTGGTGATCTATCGACCAGTGTGGCAAAAGAGATGCAGTTTTTATCAGCTGTCGACGTAGGAAGCAAAAAGCACCATCTGTTATCGGACCTATCGTTCTTCGATAAAAATAAAGAAAAATAAAACGCAGGAGGAAAATACTGAATTCCGCAACTGGAGGCCATGATATGAGTTAGTCCGACCAGCAAAATAATCCCAATCCGAGTCCCGAGATGACGGAGCAAGAGGATTTGGCTAGCGGTGGAGGCAGTGCGTCGGCGGGGTCCGGAAACAATTGCCAAAACCAACTGCAGCAATGTGTGCGTGGGAATGTCACCTGGGAATTGTTGCCCGTTCACCTGCGATCTGTGCTTCACAACAATCAGCGCGACTACGAGAAGTTTGTCTTTAACTATAGTTTGAAGAATCAGCTAAGATTTCGGGGGAACCTGGCCGCCAAGGTATTTCGCCGGGAGCAGCGATACTACGAGTTGTTGGTCCAGAAAAGCATTAATGGCCTGGGTGCATTTCCCTACCATCTGGCAGATATTGTAACAAAGGGTTTGAGGGTCACGCCCTTTAACTATTATTTGGATGTTTTGGGTCAGCTTTTGAGGAGCGATAAAAGCTATGATACTTTGCCCAACTTTACGGCTGCCGATTGTCTTCGTGTCTTGGGCATTGGCCGAAATGAGTACCTGGCCCTCATCAGTGATTTGAAAACCCATACGCCACGTTCTTTAATCTTTGGGTCGCGACCCAATCCACTTGACTTCCTGCCACGCTTTCCTGTGCGCATCCACATCGAACCCTGGTGGCGATTGGACATTGGCTATGTCCTAGAAGCAGATATCCGATTCTTATCGCCCGCGGAAAGAGGTCTATTGGATGACCTCATCGATTTTGGTGCCCAGCCGGCTGGGAAATGCGATCACGAGGTGGTGCACAGTCTGTACAAGAAGGGTCTGATCTATTTAGATGTGCCCATTAGTGGAGAGGATAGGATATCGATTCCACCGCTGCGGAACTTTGTAATGAATCGAGTTAGTGGCGATTACTTTGAGAATCTGCTTTACAAGATTTTTGTCAGCGCGGATGAGCACATGACTATTGCCGAGCTGGCTCAAATGCTGCAATTGGAGCTGGACAGCGTTAAGCAGGCCATTTCGTTCATCTGCCGGCTTGGCTTTGCTCATCGTAAGCAGGATCAGCTAAATCAGCCAAATCATTCCAGCTGGGAAGGTTACAACCACCAACAAACTCCCGAAACGCCACAGATTACGCCATTAAATTACAATCTACATGCCAGTAGCAGCTTCGAATTTGACCAGAGTCCTAAATCACCAAAGACGCCTAAGGATAGAGAGAAGGACAAAGATAAGGACAGCAGTTCCATTGGCTATCTTTCCTCGGATGGTAATACCAGTGACTTCAGCTTTGCCAATCTAAATACAACGCCCCAGGAAAGAATGAATAACAGCGATGAGCAAGAACTGAGTTCTGAGCTGGAACCAGAGGATGTGAGTATCACAAAGCAGGCTGCTCAAACCGCAGCTGCTCTGCCAAAAAGCGGTAAAAGGGTGGGATTCCTTTTCGATTCCACACTCACTGCTTTTCTGATGATGGGCAACCTATCTCCTGGTTTAAAGAACCATGCTGTGACTATGTTCGAAGTGGGTAAATTGTGTGAGGAAAGCTTGGACAGCTTTCTGGCTGAACTGGAGCAGGTTTCGCTGCTGGATGCGGAGGGCGAGGGTGATGTCTCGCGTTACTTTGCCCACGCCGTTATTCTGCGATCTACAATTTGCTCACTGCGGCATTTGCTGCCTGGTGGTTTGGATCTCTTGCGACTAGAGTGTCTGGAGGGCTTGGACCGACAAACAAGAGATCGCGTTCTGGAGAAGAAGTACAAGTTTATCATTGCCGCATCGCCGCTGACGGCGTCACTCAGTCATACATTTAGCATTCCCTACTTTGGCCAATTCCTACGCAGCTCCGATGTGGCACCCATGTGGATGAAGCTGTTCTACAATCATATCACAGGTATTTAACTAAATAGTATTATCGCACTAGTTTTTATTTTACCGCTTTGATATTTAGGCTATGGACCGCCTAGCTTGCTGCTTTGCCGAGGAACTGTACTGAAGACCTTGCCACGTCTTTTTTTGGGCTACGGAAAACTCCTGGTGAACATCCTGCATTCGGATTCGTACGTGCTTAATTCGGAGAACTTTCGCAACCTGAATGATCAACTCAAAAATGGTTGTGTGCTACTTCAGGGTTATGGGATCCGTACAGCCGGCGTTCTTCACTATGAGTCATTTCCGTTCCAACCTTCAGACACGCGACAAGCTAAGTGGGCCGGGCATCGGGCCGTACGGAAGCTATCCAACCTATTGGATCTGCGCCAGCAATGCGGCTTTATAACATTCCTAAACACTGGTGTGCCAGATCTCGGCTGCGAAGATTACGAGCTGCAGGTGCGTTTAAAGCCGGCGCAACGCCAGAAACGCTCCTCGATTGCAGCGCCCAGCAAACCAAACAATGTGCCAAGTACCGAGGTGACAAGCTTTCAATTAAAGAGTCCCGATGAAAACCACTTTGCGGCCACGCCGGAACATGGTCCTGCGAATGAGTTTACCTCAGCGGATTGTAGTCAAGTGCTGGCTAGCGAACTGGCCAAGTGCAGTAGTCGTGCGGATCTAGTCTCGCAGAATTCTGTGGAGATACCTATGGCATTGGAGGACATATCCCCGTCGGTGGATGAGGGACAAGAGGAGGACGCAACTGAAGAGTGGACCCTGCTGGATGTAAGTTTTGGTGTACCACTTTTCGATGTCGATACCAATACAAGGATTTGCGAGCAGTTGGTCCAACGACTCTGCAGCGATGCCAATTTGGAAGCATTGCCTGTGGCCGCCGGGCAGGCTCAGGTTCTTTTCCTGGATTTCGTGCGGCAATGCCTGTACTTTGAAGATGATCCGGTCAGGCAGTCAGTCCAGGCTAACCGGCCACTTCCTCATCCAAGAATAAACCTGGCATTTGAAAACGGACACGTGGGCCATTGGAATGGGCGCTAAGAAGCCCACGCACTAATGCATTCCCCGAGTATTCCGCATTTTATTTACTTTCCCAGTTACTTATCAGTTTGTGTACAGTTGGCGGACCGAATTATAAGCAAACAGATTTATATTTATATATACGTATATATAACCGCTACCGCATTCACATATTCTAACCCATCACCCAAGTCAGCATCGCAGTCTTAAAGTTTGCGTTCGTTTTTATTAGTTTTGTAAGCTCCTTGGGGAGAACGAAAGATAAAGATTGGCGTTGTGCCCTCCAACCATATACACATGCATAGCTTACATACCTATATACAAATATTAATGTATGTCTGAATAAATGCAATTTTAAAACTTATCTAGAATAAAAGACCTGTTGATTATTTGGAAACGTCTTAGATAATACTTGAAAAATAATCAAGTGTGGTATTACAATTGGCTATCACTATGTTTGCTATATGTTATCTGAAGATAAACAGAGACCCAATAAGAAGCATGGCGAGTTTTTCGGAACACACCCATTTCTGTTTATTTGTGGGGGTCGTCTCAAATTGTTATTTTAGCTTAGTGTTCCGATAATGAAGAATTTGTTTTGTTCTAAATATTTGGAACAACATATTGGAGGATAAAGTACTTCTTTCAGAAATAAAATAAAAAATACGAAGAAATACAATTTTCCAAATTTTTTTTTCTAGAATTTGTATACATATAAACAAGAAACTTAAAACTTTCTTAGGATGCAGTATTTTTGATGATGATTTTTCAAAAATCAAAATTCCGTTAAATTTCGGCAGCCCTAAGAGGAAATTTATGGGCTTAGTCTCTGTACGTGACACGGTCACACTGAGTCTGATTGGCACAACAAACGAAAAAGTTTGCAATTCCAGGCGCTGTTTTTTTTTGCTTCGTCCCGCACGTAAATAATCCTCTATAACGCAAAATTTAAGTGTAAATATTAAAATCAGCTCATTGAGCCAATAAAAATCCAAACAAAATAGTGAAAAGTGAAAAATACGCTTTGAAAAGCGAACGTAAAACAAGTGCATAAATTGGAGGGCGAGAAAAAAATTGGTGGGGCTGTAAATGCCAATACAAAAAGAAAAGAGAGGGGGAGGAAAAGAGAGACAGCGCGCATTCTCTCTCCACCTCTTGTTATCATTTGCGCGGCATTTGTTATTGTTTCACCATTTGACAATTGTCCAGTCTTAAAAGCCTATATATCAGTGACTGAAAGTTAGATATTTCGAGAGAATTTAAGTTAGTTCACCTGTTCGCGTAAAAAACGAGAGTGATCACAAGTGTTCGTTTTAAAAATAGCGTTAGCGTCGCCGTTTGAAGGCCACCTGTCGAGTGCACTGCCTGCGGATATTTGTGCGGCCAGTGAAGCGTGAATCTGCAGAAAGCGATTCATTCGCTGAATTATCTGATTTGTGTATTGTGTTCTGGTCTGTGTTATTCAACGGCTTAATTAGCTTCTGGCCAGGCCAAAACAATCAATGCGGAGAGGCGAAAGAGTCTGAAAGAGAGACAGTAAAATTAGGGCTGCCACCTTTCTGTCCTCTAATTGTTGGCTTTTACAAATATCAAAATTTACTTGTTTTAATGCTCAATATGGTGGTAAAATTAATTAAAAAAGAAACTAATTATTTCGAGCTTCAACTTCGTATTGATTGTTTTTTTTAAGAAGAGTTCAATCATCAAAAAAAAAACGCGACTACCCTGAATTACTCTGGCAACTCCCAGCTGTTTGCTTACTCTCCTTCTTTCTCTCCCCAGGAGCAAACACTTCGTGAAGTTCTGCTAACCTATCCATTTTCCAGCCAAGCCTGGCTATTACTAAGTCGGAAAAACCCGAGAAATGTTAGCTAATTTTTAACATTACCTAATATTTTAACATTTGCTGAACAATTTTTCAATCCATTAATTCATTAAAATTCGTAACTTAACATTGCTCTTTTATCATCTTTAAAAAACTTTGCTAGTAACCTTTAAGCAATCATTTGTATAGCTTTTTAAAGCCAGATTTGAAAACAATAGATGGCAACACTGCTGTGCGCTCTCCATTGTTGTCGCGTGCTCGCTCCCTCTCTATCTCTCACGACGTCACTTTTGGCCAGGCCAACTCAACTCACGCACACCTGCGACGCTCATTCTTGACTGAATTGCCGTGAGTAAGCGTTGGTCCGAAAAAAGCGAGCGCGTGTCGCGAATCGGAAAATCGAGACAAAGATAAAGAAAAGTTCATTATCAAATGCAGAAAGAATAACGGAAAATAAAGCCGCTGAATAAGTGAAAACTGAAAGGGAAATGCAAGTGAAAAGTCCAATTGGACCCTGCCCTTGAAAGTGTGTATGTGTTGGCCGCAAAAGTCTGTTCTTTTGTGTGTGTCTGTGCCTGTGTGTGCTTGTGCGTATGCCTCCAAAAGTGTTCAATGTAAAAATAAAATATCCGATTAGGTTTTTCAAGCACAACAAAAGCAACCTTGAAAAGGCAGCCAAGAATCTGCCTTTCAGCTTTTCGGCTATTTTTACTGCATGTGGAAATGTCCAAATAGTTTTCCAAGTGTCCAATCGGAAAACTCACGTCGCGCAATTGAAAATTTCTTGGCCATTTACCTATTCAACGTGTCTCCAAGTGTTTCCGTTTTCATTTGAGGCGTGATCACGCATCCTTAAGCTGAAAAATAAAAGTCTTTTTCGGTTCTTCAACTTACAGCTGCGGTCAAAATAATAGTGGCTTTTATAATTATTTCCCAAGAACTTAAATATATGGATTAGGTCTTACAATATACCAGATTTATATAATATATACATATAAACTTATCAAGTTTGTTAAATCCAATAAAGTACTAAAAAGTTTAACTTCGAGTTCATAAAAGATCCTTCTTGTTTTGACCACTGCTATATGTGAGTTTTACACCCTATTTGTTTAGGTAAAAAGCAACCAACTGGAATTCACTTTACGCACAAGAACGACATTGGAACGCAGCAGGATGTGGAAAGCGTAGTAGAAAAGGCAGTAGACAACACGCAACGGAGGCCGGAAAACGTGGAAATGACTAGCTAATTAATTAGCTAAGTAGGCAAAGAAAAGCGGCGAAAATAGGTGTAACACTTCTAAAACCAACAATAAATTCCGATTTGTTGCAAAATTTACAACGAGTCAAGGGCAAGGGCTTAAAATGACATCATACGCAAATGACACAACGTCCGCAGCAACAACAACGACAACATCATCTACTGCAGCAGCAACATCAGCTGTCGCAGTAGAATCGGCAGCAGCAATAACAGCTGACACCGCCCCCCTATCAACTGTGGGGGGCGTGGCCACATCAGCTGATTCATCCAAAGTCAAAGGCCGCGACAATTTGTCCATCAGCCGTACACAATATGGCGATGAGGATGGCAATAGCAGCGATGGGCGTGAAAAGGCTGACACAACGCCGGAAAATCTTAAGAAAATGACTGAAATAATAGATAGCCCAGATGGTACGACCTCGGCCAGTTCGCCAATTCCCTCCCCTCGTCATGTCCAGCTCAGGAATCCAATGAATCCCGGCTTCGTGGGCCTCGGGGCCGCTATCGATGACTCCTGTGGCAAATTTTGCCTTGGCAACCCGCCACTATCGCCGGCCGAGAAAGGTAAGGATACATTGAAAAGTATAGGTTTAACTCTTATTGTAGAACTTTTCCAAGTTTAATTTTATGTTTAAATTTATTAATTCATTTAAAATTTAGTAAATAAACCTGTTTGTTAATGACGATGTAAGTTCATCTGGGGTTAGAAAACCTGCATTTTATGAGTTCTGCAAAAGAAAAGATAATATGTTTGAGCTTTCGCTTGAAGAAAAGTCATCAACTTTATTTTCATTTAACAGCTAAATATAATCTTAATTGTTTAATATTTTATTTTCCGTTATTTCACTTTTGACACTGCCGTACTTTATAACTATCATAAATAATTTAGGACCAGTTAAACCATAAATTAAACAAATAAAAATAAATGTATATGCTAAAATAATATTATTTGCGTAACAAATTTTCACATTAAATAACATGTTGGTTTCTTTATTATTATTTAAACTTTAAGAGTAAGCCTTGGTCAAAATGATATCGCACTTTGCTTATGTCACGATGGGTAGTTTAACTTATTTTCAACTGTTTAGGTAAAAGATAAAGCAGCAACCGCAAAAGCCGGCGACAATTGATGGCTAATTTAACCATGGCGTTGCTTTTGCTTTTGTTGTTCCAGGTTGTGGCTTGTCTTTGCTTTTTTTTCTCTCTCTGTTAATTTGAATTTTTAATGAAGTTATTTTATGCGAGTCTCTGGCCACGACTAAGCGCAAATATTTATTGCAATAGTCATAGTCATGGCTGGCACTCACCAGCATAGCGAAACACACACCCGCAAACACACCTCGTTTATGTTTGTTGTTCAGATTGGCACAGTGGGCCACGTTAGGTTGAAAAGCAAGTTCTCGTTTCTGGTTTCGAGAAAGTGGAACGGGATCAATAGCCTGCGAAAGCGGCAAGTGACATCAGCTCGTGAGCTCTTCTGTATTTATGGCCCTATGACACCCAATTAAGAAGTTGCCAATCTTGAATTCTTCTTTAGCTATTTTATGGACCGGAAATGCTGATTTCTAGATTTTTCAATACCTTTACAATGATAAGTCTTTAATGCAGCCAAGAAAAAGTATATTAAAGGATTGACGTGGATTTAAAATCATATTTAATGTTATTTATTTGACGACTAAAGTAATTTTTCAACACAAATAATAAAAATTGCTCAATAAATTTAACAGTAAACTACTCGTTTACGCCTCACGCATTTTACACCTCTGCTTCGTTGCACAAGTTAAACTATTAAAACTAAATATAAAACTATTTTTCGAAACCAAAGTCTTAATATGTTTATTTTCCAAAAACTTAGATGTTTACTCGTGTAAAACATTGATTTATTATGCTAAGCATAATGGCATTCCAGTGTTGCATTTAAGCAATAGCAACGTGTTCAAAATACTTTGTGATTTATTTTTGATTTGGCTGGATACCAAAATTAAAATTCAGCAGAGCAAGAACTTTAAATAAAAATATCAACAAAACACTTAAAAACTTTAATCACAGTTGGTTAATCAGACAAAAGGCGTTATAAATATTATTGTTTTGAATGCAAATTTTCAGACAAGGCAAGGTTTAAAGGTAAACAACTTTCGTTTATATACAAAAATATAATCAAAAGCATATATTTATAAAAATACAAGAAATAGCCTGACCGAGTTCTGCTTGCGTTTTCATTAAATAATTTAAGTACTTGAGTCCCTGAACTTTTTTTGTTTTAAATTAAATGATTTTGTGTAAAATTGACAAGCCTGGAAGGCAAATAAAGCTGCAGCCTGGACTGGAACGCAGTAACCTCCGATCGATCAACGCCCCACAGCTTTTGGCTGAGTCATCCACTTCCACTTCCAGATACTCAGATACAAAATCTGTTTCACTTTTTGAATTTTTTTTTGGTTTTTTTATATTTTTTATTTTGCCAATGTGTTGCGTGCAAGGAATGAAAATGTGTGAGATAATGACGGCGAATGCTATAATTGTGTAAGATTTGGCAAGAGCTGCGAAAAGAAACCAAAACTGATAAACATTGTGAAATGGGAGATTTATGAAAAACAAATCACCGCACTTGATGTGGAAAAGGGGGTAATCAAGGGGTTTTGGTGCTTGGGAATTGGGGTTTTTATACAATTTGATTCAAGTACCGTTGACAATGAGAGACAAAATATTAGCCAACTCTGCGAATAGTGTATTATGTCATCCGCTTAACTCATTCAATGTATCGGTATGACTCACAGATTTTTGTGGTGTTACAGTTCGCAATGAAGTTGAGGATTTATTTTTGATTGATTTCTATAAACTTTTAATATACAAAAAATATGCCTAAAAAGTTTGTAGTCTCAGTTTTTATTTTTTCTGATCACGTGCAAAACTCTTTCTGAAAACATTTTTATTCTTCGTTGCGTATGAATACCAGTCTAATATAAATTAGAGGCATTAATTCTTGGCAAACACCCAAGAATCAAACAGATTCAGAACAAATCTCTAGGTTTTGGCCTTGTTCCCAAATTGATAATGATTGAGGCATGCTTAATTAGTTGTATTATTAAATTTGTAGGCTCCTGAATATGCCGTCAAGAAATGTCTCGAAAATATTTCAACAATTTTGTATCAATTTTTAGGTTGTCATAAAATCTAAATACCTAGGTTTTTCCTAAAAATCTAGAATAGAAAAGTCAGATTAATATATGAAAGAGATCTAAGAAGCTAAAAAATATTTCATGCCCAACATGTTCCGGCCAGACCTTCAATATCTATGAATATATATGGCCATGAACTATTGGAATTTTGAATATTTTTGGATAAAAATACTTTAGATTATTTTCTGGTCAAAAATGAGTTTTAAAATCCTATTGAACTACTTCCCAAACAATTTTCTTCTTGAACTCAAGCACCGTAATATCTCGAGTATATTTTAAAACGCTCCGTAAAAGCCAAATAATCGCCGATAACAAGGCGCAACAAATGGCCGCCAGTCGATGACCTCATTCGCAGATGACAGATGATGATGATCACCAGCGATGGCTTTCTCTATTGTCGCCGAGCGTAAAATAACAAAAAATATAAATAAATTGTTATTAAGATTTATTTAAATGTGAGAGAATCTAAATCCACTCGAAAGGCCACAAATATCGAAGTGGAACTAAAGACCTGATTGATCGGCGATGACGTAAGCTCAAAATGCAATTAGCGAGGCCAATTGAATACCAATTGGTAACGTGAGAAATTTGGTTATCCATTTCCGTTTTGCATTCGCTGGCTTTATATTCGAGTGCACATTTGCTAACCGAAATTAGTTAACACTCGGAATTATGGCGAACGAATGGCAAATGATCAGAAATCAGCAGGCGGTCGTACAATTTCCTCTGCTCGACTTTCCAAAAGCAACAACAATAGAAGCTAACTAACTGACCGACAAAAAAGCGAAACATATATATATATATATTACAGTCTAGTATTTTGTTATATTTATTGCGAAAAGTAAAAGCGACTACACAACAACATCAACAACTAACAAATAAAACCAAACAAAAGACTTTTAAACGAGCACTACTGGCAATGGCCAAAACTAATAATAATGGCAATAATACCCGACATTTGTGTGTTGTGCCAACAGTTTTCAATTGTTGGGCCATAGAAAAATTTGTTGACTAGCGGGGGGAAGGTGGAAGACCAACGATAACTCGATAGAAGACATTTTATGGCCATGCACAGTGGGCAGCGTAATTACCGTTAGCCCAGTCGTTACCTATTGCGGTCTATTGTCTATCGGTGATTGCTCCGCTCTATGGAAAATGGATATATTTCCTGCCAAAATAAATTGCAAATTTTGCCATCCAACAAGCGAATCAAGGCGTTCTAGTTTTTAAGAAAATTGCAACTTCCTATGGGCATTCCGCATCAGCTTTTTGGGATGGTAAACTAGAAGATTCTTAGGTTGAGCCAAAGACCATTAGATTTTTTAAGGCAATTCAATTGTTGCCAAGTAAAGTTACTTACTTATCTGTGCTCTAGTTATTCTTAACAATAGATAACTTTTTGATATGTCTTAATGGGAAATAAATACATTACTATTCTAACTTACATATCAGAAGTTTTCCTTTTTATGAAATAATAAGCTTATTTATTATGATTATTATTATTTAAAATGTTTATTAAAAAGCTAATACCACTGTAAGTAATGACAGTCAAATATCTACATGGGAAATTGGGAAGAAAGAGAATGTGCATATTTTTTGCCACATTTCCCTTTATGATTCCCATTAAGCAGTTGCATCTGAGGTTGAAATCTGAGAATCTTGTTAGAGCTCACATTACAGATACAAGTTAATTTGTGCCAATCAAAAATGAGTAAGCTTAATGCGGAAACTTGTTAATATAGTAAATTAACTGCTATTAGCTGCAAAAGCATACAAATTAATTAGAAAAACTAAACGAACAACTATTTTGAAATGCATAGAAGACACCTCTGTATCAACTTTAATTTCACACCCAAGCTAATGGTATATTATCACCTTGACTCCTTATTTAATTGCCCAACCACAAAACTATTAATAATGCTTAGCCAAAAACAAAACAAAAATATAAAAATATTTTGGTTCGTGACCGAAAAACTTGTTTAAAAAATAAGGCTGTGAAATCTATGTTAAATATGGAAATGGTATTTGAAATATATTTTCATGGTACAAACCAAACGGAAGTTCCATGGCCAGTAAAGTTTGCCAGAGCGTAAAAGTTTTGTGGGTCTGCCCGTGGTAGGAATCATACCCCCCCCTCCATCCATCTAGTAGAGAAAATATATAGAGAAAAAAAAAAGAACCTGCAATTGACCGAAATCACCGAACTCTAACCTTCACTTGCCGTCCGTCCAACCGACCGCCTTATATAGAGTAAGCGTAGAAGCTACCCATCCATAGATCACGATTCTGAGAGGCGGCCCCCTAGATGGTCTCCCACCTCTCGACTTGGTCTTTGTGCTTGTGCTTGTGCCACTTCGTGTGGCAGAGCTGAAAGCAAATTGTTTGATTTTCTTTTTTGCCCGTGCTTTGGCCGCGGAAATGTATAGAAAATGTTTTGCGGAAGCGGTGAGGGATCGCCCCGTGCGGCAGGTGGGCGAATCGGGGCCCTTGAATTGGTTGAACTTAGTGGAAAGCCACATATCTATATCTCGATATTGTCATCCGGGATGCAGGTTGATTGTCTATTTCCTTGTTTGTCTTATGACTGGAATATCCAGATCACAAATGTTGCTTAAATTTCTAATATTTTTTTTTTGCTGTTTTATTATGGTGTTTTGGGTTTCGTTCAGATATTAATTTAAGGTGTTGCTAAGTTTTGGCAGTTGTTTGTTTAAATTAATTGGTTTAATCTATATTTGGTTCTGAAGTTAATAATCTTGTTAATTTATTAGCAAGTAAGGTTTATAATTTAGTGAGTTTTTAGTTTATAATCACTCTAGGAAACACTTATGGCTATCAAAAAAAATACATTCTTTGGTAAAAAAGAGAATATATTTTAATCACCTTATTCCCTCTAAACCGCTCCTGACTTTCTTTATGCTGCAGCACCTATTTATCTATCATTTTTCTCCGTCGTCCGCTTGCCACTTCAGTTGAGTTCATTTTAATTTACGCGAACAGAGCTTAGTTTCGTTTTCACCGCTTAAACGCTAATAGTAAAAATAATAATAATAACTGTAAATAAATGCTAATTTAATTGTGTGTCTGTTTGCTTCTTTTCTGTTCCATTGCAGCGGCGGCGGCACAAAGCCGAGCGAACCAGCAACATGGCAACAGCAGCAGCAACAGCAACAGCAAAACCAACAATAAATCAGGCGCCGATGAAGAGGAGAACTCGACCGAGTCGAATGCAACGACGAAAGCATCGCTGGCCTTCACCATTGATCATTTCGATGCCTCCGAGAACGATTCTGCGGCTCAGGCAGCGCGCTACAAGAACATGATGGAACGTTTCCAGAGTCGCCATAAGAGAGGTGCCTCCATGTCCAAACTGGAGACGGAAAAGGATAACACAACGACAACCTCAAATAGTGGAAGACAGTCGCAAAGAAGTAGTTTGGATGCTGGTAGTAGTATGGCCGATGATATCTCATCCCTGACAACGGCCACGCCCAACAGCGAACAAGCGCCTCCGGTGCAGGTGAAGATGCGTGTGCGAGATCGTAGTGCCTCCCGGGTTAGAGATGCCTCCAAGCGACACAGTTGGTCGCCCAGAAGCTCTGCCAATGCACCGGAACCAAGTGCTGCACCTGCTCCTAGACCCGCAAGTCGATCCAAACTCCCACCACCACCAGCAGCAACAAAGGGAACCTCCAATCTGGTGGCCAATCGTACGAGCAATCAGTTTACACCCCGTTCCACTGCCATGCAGCTGGCCCTGCGCCAGGTGGAGATGCTATGTCCACAACCACCGCTGGCGGATGGTAAACCACCGGCCGAGAACGATGCAGTCAGTGAAGCGGGCACTTATACTTTGGATGGGGATAACTATACGGAGGAGCAAAAGGATCTCATGAATATCGATAGGAATGGGAAAGGAGCGGCTGCCAAGCAGCGACCCAAACAATTGCCAGTGAAGTCGAGCCGCGGTAGCAATGTCCTAGAGGTGAACTACTACCATGAAACGCCGCTGCAGGAGCAGCTACCACAGCAACTGCCAGCCCAGAGGAGCTCTACGGGTAAGAAAACTGACTTGAATCTTTCTTTAAATGAAAATCTACTGACCACCGTTTATTTTTCTGCAGGTGCCTATCTGGATCAACTAAAGACTCGCGTGCTGCGCCAGCAGGTTCCTCTGTCGCCTCCCACTCCTCCGTCCCCTGCAGCGGATATGGGTTGCTTTACCAGTGTGACCACCAGTGGAGTGCTGGCCAAACAACGGGCCTTGGATACTCATCCCAAGCTCACCAGACACTCGCACAGCTTGTCCACATCGCAGATCGACAGCTCTGAGTATGTGAGCAATGAGGCTAAATTGAGACACACGCAGGCCTTGTCCGGATCGGCCACAGATCGCCAGAAGGCCGAGTATCGACTGAATGTGTTCACTACTAGTACCAATCAGCAGCACCAATTACCGGAGACGCCAACCACGCCTACTCAAAGCTCGGAGGCTGCCCTGCTGCAAACGGCGCAGACTAAGCAGGATTGGATTCAAGAATGGGCACGCAATGCTCGGGCCAGGAGTCTGGCGCAGGATGTCAGTGGAACGAGTGCCAGTCGCCGGAAGCAACAGCAACAGCAGCAGGCACAAGCACAGGTAAGATGGCTAACCGGTTTCCGATTGGATTTAAGCCGCGGTCTTTGATAAATGAATTTATGGAAAAATCCCATTTGATTGGCAAAATCTTGTCTGGCTAGTTTGGCAGTGAATGAGTCATACTTAGATTAATTTTAGGGACTTACCTTATTTTGAATGTAGAAATTTCTTGAAGTTTTAATATATATTTTTCACTAACTTTTGAACCGACGTATAAAAAGTTAAAAAACAAATTTCTTTAGTTAAAGTCAATCCAAAATATCTTTAGACATTGTATTTGTTTTGTATTAAACTTGAGCTAATTGATTCACCAAATTTGCACATTTAAAATGACGTATAGGTCAAACAACTCTGCTAAGTTTTGTTTACCTCATTCTATTAACAAGTCTAGATAAGATTGCTAAAAATGATTCATCAGTGATTCTCACATTAATTACTTTAATTCTTCAAAGAGATAATTTTATTAAAATTAATAAATAATCAGTTTTTAAATTATAGAAAATTTTTAAAGTAAAATTGTAGTTTGGTGATGGTTTTTATAAAATTACTTTCAATTCTTTCTAAAATATCTCCCACGCAATGTAAAATGTAGAAACAAAGTAAACTGTCTTAGTTCGGACACAAACCACTGTCAAACGGTGTGCGAAATGAAAGCATACTTATATGGGCTTATGTGAAAATAGGTTTAACTATCCCTTTAATTCTTCCTTAAAAGTAGGGAAAATCAATTAAAAACCTAACATTAGGTCTATATATAGTTCATAATTTTTAATTGTTCATTTCTCGTTTTTTATATATATTTCTTCTTTCAGCAACTAATGACACGCAGCTATAATTGTTCAGATACTGGAGGAGATTCCTTGACCGATGACAGCCTAAGCTTGTACAACCAGCAGCGGCAGTATGCGGCGGCAGCTAAGCTTAATCGCAGTCTGGCGGAACGGTATCGCCTAATGGGCGACTGTGACTACGCCAGCGATCCAGCATTGTGCAGCCATGGCGGAGGAGGTGGTGGTGGACAGGTGCTAGAGCCAGGATATAAACCACCCAAAAGTCCCAGCAAGATTCCCTCGCCGCTGCACACGCTGGGACGTGCGCGCAGTGCCAGTCGCTCGCGTCCACCAACGGATGCTTATTTGGAGCAAACAGCTGCGGCTATAAGTAACCTCCAGCAGTCGCTATCACGGAGGAGCTCCGTTAAATCGCCAGCTCAGAGTAGTCCGCAGCACAGTTTGGAATCAGGAATGGGCGCAGGAGCTGGCGGTGGCTATAGACGATCTCCGCTCCATCGGGCGCTCATGACCAGCAGCATCAACGAGGCGCAGCTGCAGTTGCTCACCAGCGGCGAGTATCTTCTCAAGCAATTGCGTCGCCGCAAGAACTCCCTAGAGTATGATCCTGGTCAGGAAGTGGAACAGATTGAGCCAGCTGCTGCCCCCTTGTCGCCGCTGCGTCGATCGAGTAGCTTCCAGCAGCAGCAAGGACAACATCCTGTACGTCAGGCACGTCCCAATTTCCAGAACCTCTACACACCGCCCGCTGCCCGTCACGCCCACGCCCTGAGTACCGTTAACCAGCAGCAGCAGCTAAAGAAATCCGCCAGCAGCAATAACTTTGACCAAGCCTACAGCGACTATGACAATGAGTTGCAGTATTACATTAACGATGAGGATGAAATGGGCACCACTGGTGCTTACTACTCCAGCAATGAAGAGGAGGAGGTCGAGGAGAACCAGGAGGGAACCCAAGGTGCTGTGCCGCTAAGTAACACGCGAATGAACAAGGCTCTGTTGATGCGGATCGAGAGGAGTAAACAAAGGGTGGCCGGAACACAGGCACCGTCAAAACCAGCCTCAGCTCCAGCGGGAAAGCTGAATATAGCACAAAGTGGAGCTGGCTTGGTAGCCTGTCCAAATACACCTGAAATGCCGCGCCGTGGAATTAAGAGTGCATCGAGGGTAGCCCCGGGATCGGGCAATCGAAACACCCGACAGTCTATGCCCCGGGAGACAAGTCTCAGCCGACTGGCCCAGCAGGTGCCCAGTTCTTTGGCCAATGCCAAGAAGCAGCTGCTCCAAACAGCCAATGCTGGTGTCAACTCCAATTCAAGGGATCAGCGCGTGCAACCCAAATACCTGGACATCTCCAAGTACAAGTCAGCGCAGTCGAATAACTTTCTGCGAAAGAACGATGCCAAGAGCACTCTAAAGCCAGCGGATCAAATGAAACGAAGTCCCAGCGCCTCCTCCATGGGCTTGAGTCGCGGTGAGGGAACAAGGGCCAGTAATCGAAGTGTGCGCAGTACAGCCTCGGCGATGAACACCAGTACTACATCGCTGGGAGGTGGAAATCCGGGATCAAGGAACTCTTCTGCAATGCGTCGCGATGCCTCAGGTGAGAAAATGGCTTTTAGTTTTTAAACTGCCGCTTATATTAATACGTTATCCCTTCAGTAAACAAACAAAAGGAGGCCGAAATGGCCATGTGGAAGCGACGATCCACCTATGATCCTATGAAGGCGGCAGCAGAGGATCGCCGAAAGAAGGAAGAAGCTCGACGTGCCCAAAGCGAAGCTCAGCGACAGATCAACGATGAGGTTGATGAAATACCGTTTGAGAGGTAAATTAGATGGTCTTTAGTTAGGATTTAGGATTACATAAATATGTCTTTTAGGTGACCTTTAATGTCTTTAACCCAGTTAAAATAGTTTTAGAGATATAAAGAGTTTATTGTGTTTTTATAAAAAACTTAAATGTTGAATATTTTAACTAAGGTTTACTCCTAACTCTTTCTGTTGTAAAGTAAAACTTTTTCAACTTTTTGACAGATCGATACTCTTTTCCATTGAAGAATTTCTTTAGAAGGTATAAATTTGTGAAATAATTTAGTTTTCTAATTAAAGTAAAGCTATGTAGGTTTTTTAAAACTCCTATTCAAAAACTGTAGATCAACATTTAAGCTTATTTATATTAAATCTTGTCACAAACTAGTGTTAAACCTTCTTTGTATTAGTGTCTAATATGCAACACATGGAAGTCTGTAAAAACGTAGCATACTTTTGTGATACAAAGACAAACAATTATTAGTTATTTAGAAATAAGTTTAGAATTTTAGGAATCTTTTATTCAGAACACTATTCTATAATTATTTTAGATATACTTTCAATTATGTGAATTTGATTTGTAACCTTTATTTTGGTTCTTTTATTAGCTTAAGGTTGTGGGTAATATCGCGGCTAGAGGTAAAGGTGCGTTCTGGTCATAGACAAATATCTTAGCTGTAATTCTCAAAAAATCTCTCATGACTCACACCTAGTTGAATCTTTTGATTTTCTTTCCTAATTTAACCTAAGTAGTGGACAAGTAAACGAGTTCAGTATTGAATTTGTTATGTAACACCGCTCAGTAAAGTAATCGGTTAAATAGGTACTAAGTCGTAAATGATCCGAGCATTGTGTACTTTTGATTTTGCTAATTGATTTCTTCTCTTTTAATTTCTGTACACCCCAAACCAACACACACACACACACAAACAACCTACACCACCACCACAACAAAATCAACACTACGAATAACAATCGGTAGACCATCACGCTCCCACTATCGCCGTGGACAGTTATGACCAACGGATGGTGTGCTAGTTACCGATTTCTGAGCCATCAACATATATGTACACCTAAACATTCAGTTGAATATCTTTCCACGAAACCTAAACAAAAAAGAAAACCAAATACTTTCCACTACTACTACTACTACTACTACAAAAGAACATGCCACCCGATCTAACTTGGTGCAAGCAGCAGCAGCGGCAACAGCAGATTGTATCACTAGGATTCAAATCTAGTGCCCAGATACAATCGCCGAATCGAATCCGAACAACGATCATTTTGAGAAACGGATCTATCTAGCGTAGTATCCACAAAAAAAATACGATTTTCCAAAGCAACGACAAGAAATATATATATATTACTATATATAACGACAGCCAACCCGAAGCCGATTGCGGGGCTATCATTTGCCAATGTAATAGAGCATTCTGTTTAAGAAACAGTCGTAGTATTACCGTTGAATATTATATGCATTAATATCAATCATTTCGTTGTTGTTCGCCGTTGTGCAATTGTCTCGACCAATTTGTTTGTTCGTCAGTTCGTTAGTTACTTTGTCTTGTGCGGCTTCATTTGATTTTGTTTGGCTGAGCAATGAATTCGACTAAAAGCTCTCGATGATTGAAAACTAACAGCATCAACTCTAACTTCTTATCGAAATTAAGGGGATTCCAAAAAACAGATTATGTTTTTTGATATACTCAAAACAGTAATCAGTTTGGGGAAATCACCTAACTATAATCTGCATTAGTAGTTCATTAGGGAAATTGAAAATGAGGTGGTTACTCATGGATTCAGTGAGATTACAGAAAACATTTTGTTTGAATCTATAAATAATCGATTAATTATCTATCAATTATTACCAATCAATGAGTAACAACTCAATTTTCACTTTCCGCATCTTTCAAAATTATAAAATTCTCCTTTTGCTCTGGCAATTTCAAAAAACAAACTTCTCATTACTTTGTAAATTGCTGCAACCATAACTACTTAACCAACTTAATAGCAATACATTTTTAGTTAATACTCCTTAAATGGCTTTGTAAAGTGTAAAAACGTTTGTCCTGTTTAATGCCTAACCGACCATCACATTCAACATGCCACTCGATAACCAACTTAATACCCAATAACACCGAATCCGATAACTGCTAACCACACATAAACCAGTCAGTAGACCAAGCTAACACTTAGACAACGATTAAAAGCTTTCTTAGAACTCGCCAAAAAATCAACTCACCAGAGATCGAGAAAGAACACATCACACATACATACCATCCGAAATTGTTTGCATTATATAAATTGTGCATATAGAAATATTAATATTTAAAATACTTATATTTAAATAAAATATTAATTAAGATTTTCTATAAACAGTGTGCTGCGCCCAGCCAACAATTTGACCATCACGAGCGGGGGAAACAGCTACAGTCCTCGAAACTCCGTGGAAAACGACGCCTGGACGCTTGGTGAATCCTCAGAGTTTGGTGAATATCCCGATGACTACGATGAGAACGATGAAGTGGATGGCGATGAGGATGACATTGACTATGTGGGCCAGGAATCCGATGATGTTTTTGAAGCGGAATCCGCTGAGGTTGAGGTCCAGGGCGCACAGTAGGCAACCAGTAAACAGAAAACACAAACCAGCAACAGTGATAAATAATTCGATATATACATAACTGCATAAATATATGTATAACATATTGTATATCTTAGCGATGGATGATGCAATATAGGCATTAATCTATCTGAGTTAAACAAATTTCATTAATCGATTAGCTGACATGATTTTCCCTTGGCTTATTCGATTTTTATTTTATATGAAGTTTATAATTTGAACACCGAAGATCATCGAATAATCCAAATAAAATTAAAGTTACTAACTTCAGATCTGTCCAAATGCCATAGCAGAAAGTTTTATAAAATGTTCAAATTCACTTCTGAAATGATGAGGAAAATTCTATGAAAACGAGGTTAAATAACAGATAAATATGAAAATTCAATATGTTTTCTAGCAATATCAGTTTTGGTGCAAATGTTTTCAAGTTTAAAGAAAAATAATACTCAGATGTGTCCTAGGCTTAGTTGAGGTTTAGTAGAAAGGGATTTCAAGCCGAAATGACTGCGTTTAAGTGCTAAAACGAAACAATATAATTTTAAGTACTGCTGACCCCAAAACACCGGGAAAACTGACCAAGAGGAATTGAAATGTTTTGTAATGTGAGCTGAAATCACCATTTTCTTTGCCCAATTATTAAGTTTTCTTTTGCAGAAACAATTTGTAGTTACTCATGAACTCATGTCTGTAGGTTTTTATATACATAAATATAGTATATATGCAAACACTCGATGGAAGGTAGCTTACATAACAAATTATGATACGATCTAGTTTTATATATGCATACAATACACTAGCTGAGTACTTCTTATACAGACGTCTAGTTTAGTACTATATAAATGGAGCATATGTGGTATTCGCTTTTAAACCAACTAAATTGTTAAAATATTTATCCTTTGAAACAGAACAATGTGAAATATCAAAGCAAAGGTGTCGGTGTCCATAATAGCAACTGCTCTCTGGATCTATTGGATTTTAGTTAATGTATTTTTTTTTAAACAGCCGTCGGTATTTTTAATAATAACTCCAAATGCCCAAGTCAGCTTAAGCAATAGACAATATTTACTAAAAAATAAAAACAAAGACTTCTTTGTCCAACGAAAAAGTTCCAGAAGCAGTTGCCCGGTTTTAAAACATTTTATTATTTAGATCAGCTATATATATTTTAATATAATTAAATTTGCAAATTGGAAGGAACAACTACAAATATCAGCCGTCTAAAACATTTTTAAAATTTGTATATTTTAAGTAAACGGAGATGAAAGCATTGTTTTTCGTATTGTGTCCTATTTCTTGTTATTTTATTTCTCCAATAATTTTAGATAAACCAAAATAAACGATGACAAAAATAAACAAATTTGAAAATAACAGCAAAGTGTTGTTTGGGATGGAAATCATTTCTTCAGGTTCAACGGCCGTCTATAAATTTGAATGGGATTAAGAAGTATATATCTTTACTCTTACTAAGGCTGATATGGAAATGATCTCAGTTATGATTGGGATGTGAAAATGATAAGTTTTAAGGTATAAACATTTTGGCATAGATGAAATTCTTACAAAAATTCCATTTATTGGTATTAAAAAGAAAAAAATATAAATCTTTTTTATTATTAATCATCTTACTCATATAAATATTGTATCATAAGAACTCGATTCAGTTCAAGGCCAAAATGTTACGAATGATATAGCTTTATATATGCATACTTTTTCGTTAAAAGTAAACAAGGTACGAAAGTGGTATTTGTAAAATGCGGACACTTAGATAAACAATATTTGAAATTTAATTACAAAACAAATTGCTATATGCAGGAATGTCTGAATGAAGTGTGGGTGTTTGTTTGGGGCTAACAAATGCGAGGGCGGGGTGTAGAGGGGATTAAAAGGAAACGTCAATTAGGTTTTGTATAACACTGAAAGCGCAGCCAAAAGCAAATATTTCAACAAACTGGTGGCTTTGAAGTCGAATCAACTTCAAAGATACTCAAAGAAAAAATGCTATGAAAATAAAAGTTTAATCAGTTTGTCTTTAGTTTTGATATATTAATATTATTATTTCTATATTATATTCATATTTAAGATTCCAATTTGAATCTTTATCTTTATGATAAGGTTTTACTATAAAGATATCTCTAGGACTCGCCGTTTTCCCTAAAACGCTGGCGTTCACTTTCGCGAAACTTACGACGTGCGGCCCTTGATTTTCCCTGGGGATTACGGACCACCAACACTGTCTCGCAGTATTTCTGCGGATTATAAGATGGAGCTGGTGGTTCAGTGTCCCAATCCTCTTCAGTCTCGATAACAAATTGATTGGCTTGTGGCTCCACCGCTGGCAAAATGTCCGGCATCTTGGTGCGCTCAAATAATAAGCGATCAGGGCAATCGATGACATGGACCTGAAACTATGGCTTAAATATTTGATTAAGATATAGCTTATGACTTACCTTCATATCATTAACAGAGTGCCAATGGCTTGTGTTAAATGGGCAGTGAATCTTTTGGGAGGACGGATAATTCTTGGCACAGCGAACCAAATGAAAGGTCAAACGCAGCGGCATTATGCGATGGGCTTTATTGTAGGGACAAATGATGTAATTTTCCAAATTTGGCCCAGCCACTGCCTTTTTATTTTCCGACATCTTTAAGCTTTTTTCTCAAATGAATGCGGTTTTTCACTGTGCTTTCTTTTTTCTATGTCAGAATATCACAAATTTATCGATAAGCTTTTATATCGAAAATGGAATACTTCTTGGAGCCATCTTATATGAGGGAATTTTCTTAACAGTGTTTTTGGTATATTTTTAAAGGAAAAATGTTAATATTTTTAAGTACCAATTTTTTTGATTTTAATTATGTACGTTGCCCTTAAAAATATTTTTCAAAAAAGTGTTTTAAAATAATTTTTGTAGGCATTTAATTCTTTTACAATAAAAATCTTTTTCATTGTTTTTTTTTTTAACAACCCAACACTAAATACCAAATAAGCTTAGCTAGTATTTTTCTCAGTGCAGTATTCCTGCTGAATTTGAATCCATGTTGAGCACTGAATATACACAAAAAGAGAAACAAAACGAGGAGCAAAAGCAACAGCAACAACAGCTACAACAGCAACAAAAAATACACAATAAAATGAAGCAAAACTAATTAAATTATATAAAATAGGAATGTAAACAACAAGCTGAAGCTAAAAACAAAACAAATAAAACACCCATAAATATTTATCATAAAGAAAAACAAAACGAAACAATTTCACGGTGGAAAAAGCACAAACTTCAGAAACTGTAAACAACAGTTATTAAATATTTGTGCAATTTGACTAATAAATAAATTTCATTTTAAGCTTTCAGGCAAGCAAAAAAATGTTAACAGCCAGAAAAAACTAATAAATAAATTGTTGACAATTCAATTGGGTTTTATTAAATTAAATAAATGGTGTAATTTAAATAAAAAAAAGTTAGAAGTTTTGTTAGGAAAAATCATTTACCCTTACCTTTTCTAATTTTTAAATTTTCCAATACTATTTACCCGATAAAATCGAAGGTAAAATAATGGAAATCTTTAACAAGTTAGCAATCCCATAACATTTATCTATCAGCTGGTAAGATTTACAAAATATTTCTGATTGCCTCACCTTTTTTCCATATTTTTGAAAGAAAAATCAAAAAGAAATATTGAAAATTGCCAAAGAGCTGGCCAAACAAAAGCTTATTAATTATTATGATTGTTATTAACCTTTGGATTGTTTATTGCTTAGCACGTCTGGTTGGTTTCTGGCTACCTCAACGCATGAAAAAAATTTGAATTTTAATTGCCATTCCCATTCAGAATTTTTTTCCCTGAAGTGCCTGTTATTAGCCCCACCATTCTCGAGGGGATTTTCAGTTTGGTTTTGGTTTTTATATAGAATTTGTGTTTGTTGGATGATTTTTTTTTTGTTCTGTTTGGGTTTAGTTTGGCACTTAAAAATGGTTTTATTTATGGGCTTTTATCATTTCGGCTTTCCCAGGATTTGTGATATGGCCATAAACAAATAATGCCTAATGTGCATTAACTCATAAACAATGCAAATCAGTATTTACGAAAAGTGATTGAAGGAATCGAATCCCGGGCTCTTGAATTTTATTCACCACATTGCCACTGGCACTTGAGGCCACTTTTGGCTCCTCGTGATAAATATTGCCTTTGGCCGCCACAAGGCCCCCCCTACAAAAATTTGTTTCGGGTCTGCATTTGCTTCGTATCTTAGTGCGTCAATGAAGACTTTTCAGCCTCTCAATTGCCATTCAGCCCTGAGTACCAGATACATTTGTCATTTGTGCTGCCGGCAATTATAAATATTGGGCATGTGTGTGCATATATCATTACTTTATGGAATGTTGTGCTGGATTGACAACGAGCAGTACTCGAGAGTGTTTACATGAGGGAAATGGAAAGGATTTGAGTTTCTTAGGTAATGTGGGCAGCAAGGCATCATACTGCCCTCAAAAGTGGAAAAAGCTGACAGTTTAAACTTTACAAAAAAGTAAATCATTTTATTAAGTTTTCCTTTTCATTGCTCTGGATACATTCTTTTAAAATTATAGTACAAACTTGGATTGTAGACATCATACATGGGATGTTTCATAATAAAATGCTTAAAATGCCATCTCTCGGCGAAAAGTGTTAGAACAGATATAACATAACCCACACCCAGGGCCACGAAAGAACTCCAGAATTTCTGGATATTCATAAGGGCCTCCTGTTGGGCAGGAGCCTCCGCCGGCAGATGCTCTATGGCATCCTTAAGCCACTTAGATATGAGACCTAAAAGATAAGAGGAAATTTCTCTATATATTAACCCTCTATATATTAACCCAGATTAAAACCCTACTTACCACCCTCTGCCAGATGTTGAATGGAGCTATCAACATGTTCTTTCAGAGCAGAGTTCTTCTCCATGGCCAGCACTACGGGCATATAGACCACACATTCCTTCATGATATGCAGAGCTGATCCGATTCCAGATCCAGATTCATCCGCCACTCTTAAGTAACGTAGATAGAACTCGTTGTCGTAGTAGGCGCACTGACCTTTGGCAATGCGAGAGGTCTGCAAAGTATGATCAAGATCACAAAAGTAGTTATCTAATCGTAACTTTAATTTTTTAAATATTTGCCTAAAAGTATAAAAAATAAGTAACATTAAAGAAACTAAGGAAAGTCATACAAGCTAAAGCCATGACCTGTTTCCCAACAAATTAGTCCCCGCCTAAAGCCATTAAGTCGCCGGAATACTTTTCATATCAAAGCAGATTATTTGGCCAACTTAAAGAATTAATACCGTTAAATTAAAAATGTTGCCAAATACGCTTATCACGTAGATAAGATATTTGGCCGCCGTTGGAAACAAGTTTAAACTGGTTTTTGTTTTTCTATCTTTTGGTATAAAGTTCATTGCTACGAAATTTCTGATAAACAGTGACATTATAAATCGGGTAAGTTTATAGGATCTTAGTTTAAGGCCAGTTAAAAATGATATGAATCGGGCTTTTCGATGCTCTAATTATTCTTATCTGATTTGAAACTGGTTAAGGGGGGTTTTTAGTGTTTTTTTTGGTAAAATAAAGGAAATTTATGAATGGAAGGCACTCCTACTTTAATTTCTTCATTAATTCTTTATTTTTCCAACATATTTCTTACCAAATCATCGCTGGGTCCAACCACCTCCATCTTATTGCCCACTTTTCTAGCAATCTCATCATCGGCATCTAAGAAAAACTGTCTATTCTCAGTGGCTCCAGCAGAGGGTGGTATATGGGAGCCTAGCAAATCCTCCAGAGTATCAATAGTAACTCTGCAAAAAATATAGAAAAATAAATTTAAAACTATTTAAACCTAGAAAACTCACCTGGCAGCTGGATTGGCTAAAATGGCAGTGAAGCTGGCCCTATATGTGGCCACCAAGAGGATGCAGTAGATCCAATACCAACCCGTCAGAACCCTCAAAGGCCAATTGCGAGGCATTCGAGGTAGAGCCACATAGAGGAGCATACTATAGGTAAGCAGAATGCAGTTGGCATAATCATCGAAGAGATCGCGAGGTCTCCGAGATTCTTTAGGGGGACGATAGCGACTAATGGCAATGCGAAAACTAATTCTTCGATAGATTTTCGGATCCATGGGAACTGCATGATTTCTCCGAAGGAAACGAAAGAATCCAGAAGATACATTCCTGTTGATAATGGCATTTAAGAAACTAATGCCATAAAAGACAGTGCCGACTACAAAGAGTGAGACTAAGACACCAGCCCACATTCCACCGCTAAATGGAAGGATGAAGGTCTGCCAGGAGTTGTCTGTCGAGGCTTCCGGTGTTAGGAAGGTAAGACACTCGAAATCGTGTGGCAAACTTAGCTCCACGAATTGCAAATAAACCTGGAACTGATGCAAATCCCCAATGGCAAAGCGAGCATTGTGAGCTGCCTATGAGGATTAAAATGTTAATAAGTCAGTTAAAGTTTGTAATACCATATCATAATCATCATTTAAGAGCTCTTTTTTAATCCCCACTTACCACCTCATCTATAAGCATTGAGTCTATGTAAGTCTCATTCTGTCCATATCCATCGGGATTACTATTTCCATAGCCCGTTTCCAGCTCCCAGTCTAGGTTTTCACTTTGATTGGGTCTGTAGTAAACGGGTTTGAAGTTTAGCGCCTTGCCCAGGGCATTCATAATCTCCACTTCAACTCCTTGGAAGCTGTTCGTCGCGTTCACCCACATAACCATGGGCACGTGCTCGGCAATGGCCACTGGCATTGGGGCTCCTGGAAGGGAAGGGAAGGGAATTAAAAAAGGATTAGGAATTGGTTATGGGGATAGGTTACTAAATAAATATACTTTTGCTGTTTGCAGATATCTTGGGGAATTAATTAAAGATTATTTAAGATTTTTAAGTGTCATTTACTTACCATACAAGTTACCTGTCTTGTCAGCAAACAAAATCCTTCCATTAACACCTTTTCCCAGTTCCCAGTTGGCAATATTCTTAAGAACCAGAACGCCACTCAAAATGCCAGGAAAGGCAATGGTAGAGATGGTAAACCTATCAAAAATAATAACTTAATTACATAATATAAATCAAGAAACATATTAATATAAGACCCACTTATTATCCAACTCCCTTTTGAGAAAAATGGTACCCACAAAGACGCTCCACAGGTGAATCATATCCCTCTCGAAAAGTCGCGAATCATAAAGTAAGATAAACTTTTTCTGCAAATTCAAAGATCTGTTGTCGTAGATATATCTCAGGAAACGCTGGACCTGCCAGCCGTTTAGTATAGTGATTAAAGTTAATTCACAATCACTGGCCTTAATGGCCGTAACAAAGAGCTCAACTTGCTTGGGTGGCCGCAGGAGATCCTCACTGGCATTTGCTCGCATCACAAAGAATGGGATTACTTGACGACCCACCGATTCGAAAAATATCCGATCATATATAGGATAATGCAGATCATCTGTGATAACGCTAAAACAACGCTTAACATTGGCAGTCCAAAGGATTTTCTGTAGCAAGACTTTTAAATGCATCTCATAAGCCTTTAGGTTGGGGTTTTGGATTTCTGTGGGAATTGTGATGGCCATCGCCAGGGATATGCAGGTCCCAGCCAGAATTCCCAGCCAACAACAACGCATCCTTTCGCCGCCAAACACAAACTGCTGGCCACTTTCCATTCCGGCAGTTCGTTAACCTGTTTACCGGAATGAACCCGTCCATGTCCTCCTCATTGCATATGCAGATCTAATTAAACTTGTCCGAACTCCGTGAACCGGGAGCCCCCGGACTGTCAGTCACTCATCAACCTGATTTTGCTCGCATTTCAACATTCCGGCAAGTGGGGGTTAACTAATTAAAGTTTTGCGGCCCAGGGGTTAATTAGTTTAACCAGATAATGCGTTCAAGGTTAGAGGGATTCCCTTTTTTCGTTGTAATGGCGTGTCCTTAGAGGTGTTTTTAGTGGTAGAAGGACTAATATTTTGGGAGGGAATGAATAAATACAAAATGAAGTTAAGTAAGGTCTGCGTTTTATGTCATAAGCAAATGACTTAATCAATATCTAGAACATTCGATAATCTCTCCAATCATCTCAATCAAGAATCACAAACTAAGGAAGAAACCGACGAAAGCATCATTAAATTTCATTTAATCAGTCCGCCTCTGATTGAGATCTATGGCGAAAGTCTTTGTTCCGATCTCGATGTTGTCACTAATTCGATGACTGACCGCCTCTACCCCTCACTTCGGTTCCTCCCTTCAAGCAGACAATTGGATCAGACTAATTTATCATAAGACCATAACATAATCCGTCTGTCCGTCTTCATTAGGGGGAGACACGAGAGATCGAGAGGACCAGTTGATGATATGAGGTTGAGTATGTACTACTATAGCTGCTGATGAGTTACTGCAGTCGCGAAATCAGCAAATTGCGATCATCCGCAGTCAAGGCCCAGACTACACTACACTAACGATATAGTAATGCGGCCGACGACTTGTCACTGGACATAAGACACATTCAGTCCGTCCGTCTGTCCACCAGTCCGTCAGTCAGTCAGTCAGTTAGCCGATTAAAGCGCCCAGAAGCCGCATTCAAATACCCATTAATGTCAGCTCAAGTCAGCCCGGTGAGTCCGAGCCAATCAGCCTGCGGATGTGGATGTGATGTGGGCAGGTAGCTGCTAACCAGTTACCAGTCTTACTTAATATATATATATATATATATGAGTATACCTTTACCTATATCCATTCCCGTTCTTCTGGGCTTTATTGTCGTGTAATTAACTTTTTCCGAATCGTCCGGATTTGGAATTGTTTGCACATAATTGCAATTTAATTATTTTCTCTCGCTCGTTTCCCTTTTCATGTTTTTATGGATTTATGTTGGTCGCGCGGTCTGCTGGCCATTAGCTTGGTAACAGGTAACACCCGTCTCTCTTTGGACCTCAAAAGACCAATACTAATACCAATACCTATAGCAAAGACCCAGGCCAAGACCAGAACCACATCCAACCCATGTCCAACCTGGCAGCCAGGCCTGGCAGGTAGGTAGTGCTGAAATCGATTTCGGACGCCCCCGGACCGCTTCCCATGTCCAAGTGTCAGCCGGTGCCGGGTCGGTTTTCTGGACCGACACATAGAGGAAATCTGGGTAAGTCATAGAAATGTTATTAAAATAAAAAATATTATTATTTAGTTTGTTTGAAAGTCTACAAATTTATCATAAAATGTAATAATTTGTATAAATTTGAAAATATATTTTATACATCAAAAGTAGTCAACTATTTTTCTCAGTGTAATTCGAATTCTGTGCTCCTAACGAGTGCATCGCATGCCATGGGAACGAGCGGGGATTTTGTCAGGGGTGTGTAGGAGTACCAGAGGTAGAATCAGGGACCAGCCGAGTGGAAAACATTTTGCACTTTTATGGCCCAGATTCACTTGGTCCTCACGATCCATGGCCAAAAAAGGACCAGAGGGCTCACCGTTGTTTGCATTGACACATTTTCTATTTTTGTTTTTCGTTGGTAGATTTTCTCAGCAGAATTTATGGGTTCCTTGAGGTTTCCTCATCGGCTGATCCCCGTGCACACGAGAGTTTTGGGCCCATTCGATATGCTTCTGTTTTAATTCCAACAAAATATTTTATGCGAATTTGGCAGTTTATTGTTTTGCCGGCTTTGGCTTACAGTGTGAAAATGTAACAAATTTTCCACAGCTAAAGGTGCGTGTGCGTGTGCCGGTGTCCTGGGAAATAATTCAACAGTTTTCCCACCTTCTGTTTCGGCCAAGCAAGTTTTCCTCTTTTCAACAACAACAGCAGCAGCAGCAACAGCAATTTTCCCCCTGATTTATTGCCCCACAGCTGTGGTCCAACCATCTTTATCTATCTATAAAGTTTGTTTTTCTTTTTTTACTTACAGTTTACAGCGCAGAAATGAAATATTCTCAAGTCCATCGAAAAGTTTTTGTTTTCTAGTTCATTGACAAAGTTCGGTTCACACGCTCGGGGATCGGAATAGCAGCAAACATATATTTATCTTCCCACTTCTGATTAGTGAATCAGTTTGAAACGGGTTTCGGAATATGCAAATTCCAATTTTGCCAACTTTATTTATATGTTTTTTCCGTTTTTTATGCATTTATACATTTATTCAATTTACACGTGTCGCTGGCTAATTTATTCTTTAATTGGGATATGTCGATGACAATTTATGTAATCCTCTTAAAATATCTATGCTAATATTGATTATAAGTCCGATGGATATTCGTATTATGTTAGCCTGATTTTTAGTTCCGATTTTAGGATGATTTTATTATAATTTCTAATCCTTAATGGGATGAGACTTGATGAGGCAGATATTTTAAACTAAAACTCCTTTTTCCTCAAAGTTTCCTCTTCTGAAAATGCAATATAATAAAACATTTTAACATCTGTCTTTTACAGATAATCAATGCATATGCATAATGCTACCCTATCATATACGAATGAAAGAGATTACTTTTGTATGAGGCTCTTGGGTTATATAAACCTGATATGGGAAGAGCCAGCGATATGGTCAGTAATCAGCCATAAGTTAATAGTGTAGAATATGTACACAAATATGTACATACATATGTATATGCACTTGAATGTTTGTGCACATATGTACCCGAGTCCAATCAATCTGTATGCCAGACAGCCAGAGCTGTATTATCTGACCAAACTCTGGCGACTATTTGAACTAATTTCATTATCTTAATGAGAACGTTATTAAATTATTCACGTTTACGATTCGATTCTAACAACGAGTCGAGTCAAATTGAACGAACACGTTGTCCCAATATCAATGACTAATCTACGAATCTATGCACAAACAACGCACACGGGTCGTATACGTACACCACGTATTCCTGCCCCTACATTGTACGTACTATATATTATAGATATCTCCCACTATGTATATGTATGTGTTTGCTCCATTGAATAAAACTTAATCAGCATTTAATTAAATGCACAGAGAACAAGGCAAGGAAAAGGGTGGTGGTGGTGGGGGCGGGTGGCTGGGTGGTAAAAAGCGATTTCGTTGATTATGTAAATCAATTGAGCAGCGAGATAAAAACGCTCGGTTTTTGTTTTTTTCATATTATTTCCTCCCGTTTCGCTTTTTGCTGATAAATCGAAATCGTTCTTTGGCATTATTTTCTGTTTTTCTTGTCTCGTTCTTGCCAACTGTTTTTTTTTTTGTTCTTTGCCAGCGGCTTTGACTGGTAACGGTTTTTATATAATCACTTTGTCAGCCGCTGTTTGCCTAGCATTTTATTTTATTTTATTCCATTTTATTTTCCCGATACACTCATTGTTTTTCCTGCATATGTGTGTGTGTAAAAGCGAAAATCATGACAGCGAGCCTCTTTTTATGCTCTTTCTGAAAGGGGGCTTAACGCTTTTGGTAAAAGGAATGGAAATCTTAAGGAAATTTTACTAATATTTAACAGATTAAGTGGAAGGAATGTTTAATTTCTAAGATTTAATGGGAATAAATATTAAAGTTATTTTCTACTTTTAATATTTAAAACTTCTACTAACAAAATTTAATTTTAGGGCATTTAAGCCTTCGTTCTTTCCGCAACTCTTTAGTTTTTTGTACTTATATAACAATAATGGAAACTAGAAAACTGCTTTGATTTGCAAAATTGAGACGGATAATATTATGCGCTCAGTGGAGTCCAGATAAATGCCCCTGCATATAACCAACAGATATATATATATACATATATATCCGAACATTTAGATTCAGTGCTCCATTGAGCAAATTGTCCAAAGGCTATAAAGGCTATATAGGGGTAGAATTTCCGACAATCCATGCAAATGAAACTGTTTAAATGGATCCACAAATGGACAGAAATGAATGCTTTTTTTGTATTATTGTTTACGAGTATCAAGTTGTCCAATGGGCCAATTATATAATGGCAATTATTCAGAAGTGTGGAGGCTCCACTGGCGTTTGCAATTTCAGACGAAGTATTAACTCAGATTTGTTTGTTTTCGTTTTTAATCGAATTGAGGCTAAGACAACATTGCAGTTCTAGAAAGTTCTTTAAGAAATAAATTAAAAAAACTAAATGAATATATAAATAATACAAAAATGGTCTTAACTTCTTAATTATCTTAATGTTAATATATAAATAAATGTATCATTAGTATTTTAGCTACCTAAAAGTAATGCTTAATAAAGTTCAGACATTGGTTTTACATTTTTAATTGCTTTTCTAAAATATAAAATAAGCACCCAGATTTTTTTTAATAACTTAATACTTAATACTTAACTTCCTTTAGATATTTATTTAGCTTATTATTATTAATTCCAGTTAAGCAAGTTATCACCCAACATAATCTGATGAAATCGTATTTCCCCTTTTCCGCATAGAAACCAAAAGTTGACTCAGCGTCGCATTTCAAGAACACATTTTTTTTATTATCTAAGACTTTTTCGGTTGGCAACAGCAAGAAAATTTTAAAAAAATTATTTGTTTATTTATTTAACAAGAAACATTAAATAAAATGTTTCTGTTTTGATTTCCTAATCAGCAATGAGTTGCTTGATTCCCATAATTAGACTAAGTTCAATGGTCCACTTTATATAAATTTTTTGAAATA